CAGACTGCTGAGGTCGGAGTGCAAACGAGGAGTGAACCATAGTGAACCCTGCCGCTGAGCTTGTGTGAATCAGGAAGATGGAATCCCAGAGAAGGACAGATGAACGAGGGATCTTCCTGTGGTACTTCGGCGTGTCATTCACCTGTCATGCTTCTCCCAGTCCGGTTGCCACAGGAGGCAGAGGGAGCTGTGCGGGTGCTGCACCAGATAGCCGAAATGGAGGCCGAGCCCCAACTGGCCGGCGCAACTATTATAGAACCTTGTCCTGTCCTGCGAGGCGCTACGGGCTGCGGAGCGCAGACCTCAGTTTGCAGGATGCATCGCCCCTTTCAGCACACTCAATACTGTAGGGCCTCCTCTCTGCTCTGTGCCGGCAAAACAGATAGCCCACGAGAACTCATGATAACCCTACCAGGCCAGTCTAGTCAGCAGCCACGAGATGCAAGGCACCGCCTTCGCGCCGCTTGCGGCGATGGGGACCCCGAGGAGGGGGGCTCACCACAACTGTGCACTGGCCATATGCCAAGCATGTGCTCATACAGTGTGCACATTTACCGCCTCATATATGTGTTTGGATGGATAGTTAAAGAGACAGATAGATATACGTACCACATTCTTAATGTATGTATGCATGTATGTATGTAGGTATGTATGTAGGTATGTATGTATGTAGGTATGTATGTATGCATGTATGTATGTGTGTGTGTGTATGTATGTATGTATGATTATGTATGTATGTATGTATGTATGTAGGTATGTATGTGTGTGTATTTATGTATGTATGTATGTATGTATGTATGTATGTATGTATGTATGTATGTAGGTATGTATGTATGTATGTATGTATGTATGTATGTATGTATGTATGTATGTATGTATGTATGTATGTATGTATGTCTGTGTGTGTGTATGTGTGTGTATACAAAAAGGTTGTGCATATTTGGGTCATGTGGCAATAGTAATTTAGTTGCGCCCAGGAGAATCAAGTTTGCAGGGCTGTGTCTAGCCAAAGCACGAATGTATTCGTGGAATCTGCGAGTACCATTTCCGACGCAGACGACATGTAGTCCGGTTCCTGCCCCAAGCCCGCACTCTCGAGTCTTGAGGAGCTCGTCCGTGCCATAGCCCACGCGACAGAGGCCTGGGATTGTCAGTGAACTTTGTTGGTTGCAGAACACTAAGTATTCAGAGTCTGGACGCAGAGTTAGGAATCCATTGGATGATTTCAGGTCGGTGTTGGACGAGATACCCTAGGCCCTGCATCAAACGATGTCTCAACACTTCCCTTCCTTCGAGTGTTCCATGTCTCGTTCAGATGCGGCAAATGCCACGCTGTCCAAGATCCGAGAAGATCTCCAGCGTCGGGAAGCGGCCACAAAGAGGCAAAGAGGGCACTGGCATTCATTGGCTCAGACATGGAGAGGGGTAGTCAGGGTGTTGGAGGAATTTCTACTCTTCTTCATCCAGACTTGACAAGGCTACGTGAAATCCTGCTGAAGTCCTGGCCGACGTCCGAAAGCGAAACCCTGGAGGAAGCGTGGCTACCTCGAGCTTCCATGTGTCATCATCATGTGTCCTGCCCTGCTGCAGGAGCGCATCTCAAGTCTTAGCGATGCGATCTCGCTGGACCCTTAGCATGTCGGCCTCTCATCGGAAGAACAGACTGGTCTGGAGATGTCTGGAGCCTTGAGCTCGGGCAGACATCATTTGGGATTCTACTCCGGGTGCGTCACTCAAGGGTGCGAAAGTTGTGACGAAGCTGCTGCTGTCCTGTCTCAAGGACCGGCAAGGCCTGCCGCGTTCCCCAGGCAGACCTCCAGGCGGCTGAACAATTGCAGCTCCTTTCCTTCTGACCGCAACAGCTCTTGTGCTCCAGGCAGCTGCAGAGTTCCTTCAAGTCCTGGAAGGTTTGGGGGCCTGAGCATGGCCGGGTTGAAGGATACGGAGGAGACCTTGTGAACCGTGTCTTGACACCCTTTAGGAAGATTAGGAAGAGTGTGAGGCATTGGGCACCTGCTTTACCTCATAAAGCCCAAGGCCTTCACCGCCGCGAGCTGGCCACTCGTGGCCTCATGGATGCCCTGGAGGCACAGGACCTTCAGGCGAGGGGGTGGCGATGGGTAACGATACTGCAAGCGGAACGCGGAAGTCGGGGTGAAGTCAGGCATGTTTGACTGTCGCCCTCTGGTCTGGGACGCTCTGGGCGCCCTGTTCGAAGCAAGGCCGCGAAAAGGGCCTACGGCCGTGCCAAGGAGTGCGGTGTCTCCACGGAGGCTGGTCACAAGCACGACACAAGCGCCACCGAAGCCTCGGCAAGCCCATCTACCGTATTTTAACAGGAGCTCGTCTCCTTCGAGCATCAGATGCGGGACTTGTCTGATGCCTTGGAGCTTGCCGGTGACAAGGCAAGGAGCTCATAGTTCACACAGTCGTCACACTATATAAATATGTGTACATCATGTGCATAAAATATATATATATATATATATTTATAGAGTATATCTCCAGAGTACAGTATAGTCTAGTATGGCATGGTCTAGTATTGCATTAGTATGGTATAGTCTAGCGTAGTATAGTTTGGACGCGGCCTCAGGAGCGGCTCATGGAGCGGCGCGTGGCCGCAGCCATGGAGGCAAAGAGCCAGGCCGAAAGTGGTGCAACATCGGTCCAATCACAGCGCAGCGCTACAGAAGTGGCGCAGGCTAGAAAGTTTATTTTAAGAGTTAAAGCTGTTGGTAGCGGAGGCCTAAGAGATTAAAGTTTAAACTATCGGTAATCCAGACGGGAGGCTGGGGGGGGTGGGGCAACTAACCGCCCGGCCAGAGTTTGAATGTTTAGAGAAACAAACGTTTGCGGTACACCTTTGTTTCGAACCTAGAAACTCAGGGGGCGGGCCGGGGAACGGGGAACGGGGGTGGGGGTGGGGGTATGTCTAAACTAGCTTGCATCTGCCATTTTGGGAGTCGTACAGACCCGAGCTAGGTATGCGGGTATGTGGGCTTCCATGCAAGCCATGGAGCTCAGATCTTGTCTTCTGCTCGTCGTAGGGGTTTGCAGCACATGCTCTTCTCTACTTGCTTCAACGGCTTGGCATGCTCTTCTCCACATTGAAGAGCGCCCTCTCATTGCCTGAGCATGCTGGAGCTGTGGGAAGGCAGAGCGCATGGAATCCTCAGCTGAAGTGGAGAAGATGCTGGGAGAAGGCGCCGGGTCGGCTCCGACTCCGTCTCTTGATGAGCGCGGCGACTTGTGGCAGGCGGTGTCATTGCGGTTCTCAAGGAAGCCATCCAAGAAGCCAAGAAAGCGTTGCGCGCTCATGGCCAGCGTGTCAACATCACCACTGCAGGGTTGCAGCTTGATGTTGGACATGTGCTACCTGCTGATATTCAGCATGCACCAAATGGTTTGAATCACAAGCCTACGAATCGTCATTAACAACTACCCAGTGCACGAAGCCAAACCTTCAGGCCTCACAACAACTTCAATTGCCGAGCCTCTCTGCCCACTCGTTTCGAGGCGTCTTGTGAAGAAGGGTGCCATCATCAGAGCTGAGGCGAATCTTTGCGGTGTAAGGTGCAGTTTCTATTCTGTTAAAGAGCCTGTTACACCTCAAAATAATGTTGCCTAGGCCTTACTTAGGAAAGCGGGTGCTGCAAGAAGAAGCTGAGACCCGAGAGAAGAGCCCCCGCAAACATACTCCGAGCCGGAGAGCCGGCAGGCTGTTGTCCCAGAGACCATTGCCGACCTGAAACGCCCGGTGCTTCAGATGTGGCAGGGTGGCCTTTTCGTAGTTGGATGGGTGATGAGTTGTGCGACATCCTGTTGCGCAGCCATGCTTCGTCATTCTCTTTGTAATTCCTGAGCTAGAGGCATCATCGCCGACAAGCGCATGAATGAGAAACGCCTTGGCCTCAGAGACGCCGCGAGGCTGACTCTGAGCCGCCTCGCGCTGCAACATGCAAAATGATATGGCACACTCAGCTTGGGGTTGCGGTGAGGGGGCTTCTGTGAGGCCCAGACTAAGTTACAGGATGTTAGAGGAATCCAGAATGTTACAGGTTTCCGGATGGTCTGGGCTTAGGGGTCGAAGGGCACGAGCCCGCGACTTCGCAGGCGTGGCCGAGGAGCGGCTGCGTGCCGAGGTGGAGCCTCGCGGCTCGCAAAAGGGGGAAAAATGTGGGTGTGTGTGTGTGTGTGTGTGAGGAGGTGTGTGTGTGTGTGTGTGTGTGTGTGTGTGTGAGGAGGTGTGTGTGTGTGTGTGAGGAGGTGTGAGGGCAGAGCGAAAAGTGTAAGGAGGGGCTCTCCTCTTTCTGCTGCTCTTGGCATCCTATGTGGAAGTTTCCCCTAAGCACTGCCATCAAAGGCTGGTGCAAGCAGCAGGGCCGGGGCCTCAGAAAGCTTCGGAAGAGATGCGTCCGTGTCTTCTCACGCAGAGTTTGTTTTGCCGGGCCTTTGGCAGCCCAATATCTATTTTATCTATGTTTGGTTACATGCTGTCTTCTTTGTTCTACTTCGGCGGCGTCGTCGTCCAAGGATACTCCATGTTGGAGTTTTGGAAGGCTTGCGCAATGCCATCACCGAAGCCTCACGCTTCGGCGCTGATGTGCGGGGCTCAGTTCCGCAGTTCCGTGTGTGGCCGTAAGATGCCGAGATGCTGTGAGGTTATTGCAGCTAAAGATCCGGTGGACATGTTTTGTAATCTCACGGGCAGCTGTATATGTTCAGCTCCACTGACTCGGCTCGAGACCGCTAGGCCGCTAGGCAGGAGAGCAGCTGGACTTGGAGCCGGTGCTCGTCGCGTCGCTTGTGTCTGCATCGTTTCACTTAGGTCAGAGACGCAGAGCAGGTGCTGGCGCAGCTATCAAAGGACCTCGAGCCGCGTGGCTCAGAGCACTCCAGCATTCGCTCTTGCAAAGGCACTACACAGAGAAACCCCGCACCTGCCGATCATCCTAAGCCCCCCTGAGCCTCGCCTCTAAGCCATGCGAAGCCTCAGGAAGATGACGCTGGAGGCAAAGGAAGCTCTTGCCCAGGTGCAGACCCTCTTTTTTTGCCAGTTGCCTTTCGGTGATATTTTCAGTGTCGTCTTCGCATGAGTCTCAACATTTGCAGCTCTGAGCACGCCCGGAGATCTTACACAGGCCCGTGCGATTGTTAAAAAGGGTTCCTGCCTGATTAGCAGGCTTTCGAGTCTCGGAGCCCGGCAGACATCAGGAAAGGCGCGATGTGGGGGGCCTGCGAGTCGGGAACGAGGTGCTCAGGTTGTGCGAGCTCGCCAGGCATCTCATCCTGCAGACAGCTCCTGCTCAACGAGGTGTGATTCTTCTGCGAACGTTGTGTAACGTGTGTAAAGACCGTGCTGCAAGCAAGACATGCATCCCCGACCTTGCGGTTTGACAATGGCAGGAGCACGGTGGAGCCATGACGCAACTTCGTGGCATCACCGAGGAGGCGAGTCGGCATCTTTGTTCCCAGAGTTGTAGTCTGCAGGCTGCAGGTTGCAGATTAGGAGCTGGCCTACTTGTCGCGGTGAAGGACATTGCTCTTGCCCGCACTGACCATGACCGAGAGTCCCGCATGGCTCGTGTCGCTATCCTGGAGCAGATCTCAGTCGAATCTTTGCATGAGCTCGCGGATGCGTATTGCAGCAGCCGTACCACCATGGCTGACTCTGTACCAAGTGTACCAAGGAGCAGTTCATAAGCATACTACGCGAGAACGGTGACAAGCAGCTGCGGGGATTCCACAATGCGTGCTGGCTGAATTTATCATCTCCAGGTGCTTCAGTTACCGAGTAACCCCGTAGACATCTCACTAAGAAATCCTGGTGAAAGTCAAGGATAATCTATATATATATATAATATATATATATATATAGGTATATACATATGTGCTCACCCCCCCCATGATCTAGGTCGGAAGGCCTTCCGGGTACATCAAAAAGATATTTAAACCTAGTTCGGAATTTATATTGAAAGGCCGCACCCTCTGAGAAATCCTCTGGCCTCATTTGTAGTACAATGTGTTTAGAAACCTAGATTTGCCTGTTAAAAGCCGCGCCCTTTGAAATCCTCTTCTGGGGCCTGCCTGTCCGTAACAAAATCTCATAAGACCTCATCTGGGCTTCCTTCCTAGTTTATTGATTAACTGCTTCTATATAAGAAGCCTAGGAAAAGAATTCTATACATAAAGGCCACACCCTATGAAATCCTCTTTTGGCCTTTCTAAGCAAATGTCAATAGACTTGTGTATGATAAAGCCACAGCTTCGTTCGTAATTCACCCAAGTAAAACAAACATATTAAGAGGCCCCGCTGCAAGACATCCTCTTCTAAGCCTCGGTTAGTACCTATGTGGAAAGTTATTTTACCCACGCCCTATGAAATCCTCCTCTGGCCCCATTCGTAATGAAGCGTAATTTGATTTTGTTTTGTATGCCCACACCCTAAGAAATCCTCTTCTGGGTTTCGTTCGGAACTAAATCCAAGTAGTGCAGAAACAGGACTTCGCCTTACATACCCAGCATGTCATGTTAATCGGTATTTACGAGGGTTTTTCTAGGGAAAAAGACAACCTAGATCATGGGAGGGGGGGTGCATATATATATATACATACATATAGATAGATAGATAGATATACATGTTTGTTGACCTTATCACATCTGACAAAGTCCCCAAAAGGGTCCCTGCTTTAGTCCCTTAAGTCATCTTCGCACATGCGAGGACCTTCAAGACTTGAAGGGCGCGCTGCGTGTCTTCTGCAGGGTCAGGCCTGTCTCACCACCTGCTTGTTCCGGGCGCTGAGGTCAAAGGTGTTTAACTGTTGTTCAACTGTTGTTGTTCAACTGTTGTTGTTCAACTGTTGTTCAGCTGACGCACATTACTAGTAGCAGCTAGTACCTGAGAGGCCTCTGAATGGGCGAGAAATCAAGAAGAACGACACGATTGCAGTGGAAGCTGGAGACCTAGCGGAGGGTTGTGGGAGCTTGTGGGAGCTTGGTCATTCGGTTTCTTCTGCGATGTGGCGCTTAAAATGTTGCATCAGATCGTCGACCCGTTCACCGTGTCCGTGAGCAAATCTGAGACTGACAAGCAGGCCGTGCATGCACTCATGACGTCTTATTGCAGTCCGGTCTGAGCTCGGAGGCATGTTTGAAGGATTTTCTTGAAGTTGGGCCGGGGCATCTGGCCGCATAGCCCTACAAAGAGCTTCTGCCAGACCTTCTCCTATGATGCCATCTTCGCACAAGGCAGCCCTCTTCCATGACGTCCACAAAACTCCCTGGCAGCCCGCTGCAGGTACCTCTCAAGCAGACGTATTCGCGGAGTGCAAGGGCTTAGTCATGCGCACAGTGGGATCAGAGGGAGCTGTGTGCACTTACAAGGGGTACCTGGATGTACCTGGATGCACCTGGACCTGGGTGCGTACTTGGACATGCCTTGCCTAGGTGCAGAGTATGCTGGACGGGTACAACGTCACGGTCTTCACGTGCTCCCCATACACATGGCATGGCATGCTCATGCTCCGGTGCTCCACGTTCTGTGACAAGGTACGGGCAAACAGGTGCTGGAAAGACCTGGACGTTGTGGCGCTCTCAGCGGCTTCTTCATTTTGTGCTTCCTGTTTCAAGCACCATAACCCATCCTCTAAACCCCATCATCTGTACCTCTTAATTGTAAACGCTTGCGCGCCCCGCCTCGGCAGCCGGGCCGGCCCCAGGACAGGAAAGGAGGAAAGAGGGCTTCTGCAAAAAAGGGAGGAAGGGTCCAGGTCCGGGGGTCGTAGGGAGGTTAAAGGGGTTAAAGGTGTTTGAGGTCCGCCACAAACTTTTGTGTGGGGGGAAGGGGTCTGCTTGCTCCAGACGCTTCTCGGCAGGAAGCCGAGGCGAATGTGGGTGCCCTCTCCTCCTCCCCATCCCGCTCCCCGTTGAGGTACGGCTCTGGGGCGGAGCCCGGCCTCTCTCCCCGACTCTGCGAGGACAGCGCTTTGCTGTGCCCAGATTCCGGTCTCTCTCTCTCTCTTCTCTCTCTCTCTGTCTCTCTCTCTGTCTCTCTCTGTTTTTGGGAGCTCGCAAAGGATTGGGTGTACGGAGACAGGAGAGAGTGAAGATCTGACTTGGGTTAAGGCCTAGGGCTTAGGATGGTTCGGGCGTGTTTGAGGGATGTCGCTCCGGGTGGTGTCGAGGTTCCAAGGCAGGTGGCTGAGCATCTTTGTAGAGAAATGATCTCGGATGTTGCAGGAAGTCTTCCGCGTAGTTCACAGAGATCGGGAGAAGTGGAGCTCTCAGTTCTGTCGTTTGCTGCGTAAAAAGACCTTTGGTTGGGTACTGGTACCTTACTGCAAGTGGTTGACTTACTATGATGTATGTATTTAATCGCTTTTTGTTATGCGTTGCATCACGTACAACTAGCATCTAACAGTTTAGGTTCAGGTTCCTGCAGTTGACGTATATTTGCTGCGATGCATCATCTACTCGGGAGACGCCCATTCTACATCAACCACCTAGTAGTGCCTTCGAGGTTCGACATCGAAGTGCGATCCTCCATGATCGAGCTTTACTTGTCCGTGCTTGGCTCGGGATTTGGGATGGACACTTTAGCGCCAAGCAGAGAGAGGGAGGGGGTGGGAGAGAGAGACGAGAGAGGAAACAAAACAAGAAACGAGCCTGATCAGGACTTGCGCGACCTGCTTTCCAAGAACAAGGACCAGCAACAGCGGAAGCAGTGCGAGCTTCACACCAGCTGATTCCTGTTGAAGTTTCCCTTTCAAGCAAGTCGTGCATGATCGGTGTAGTGTAGATTCCATAAGCAACGCATAGCAAGGCGTGTAACATACCGTGCAATGACAGGTCCAGTTTCGTGTCTTTTGCCGTATCTTTGAGAGGAGCCGCCAAAGCTGGAGCTGAAGAGCTACAAGCAGGCCGCCCCCCTTGTCAGAAGAGCTCCTGTGACCTGCGAATGGTGAGCTTGGAAAGCTTCCATGCAGCAGGCAGATGGCACAGCGGCTCGCCTGCATTAGCGGCGCGGGAGAAAGCTGTTCATATGCGGGGTGGCCTTCAATGCTTTCTGCTGAGGGCTGGGCAGGTGCACACAGCATCTCACACTGACCTGAACGATGCTCTCCGAGTTTTATGCCAGCATCACCCTCATCAACATCCTTGCTTACAATGGTTATGCTTGTTCTTGTTCTTGTTACTATTCGTATTCTGGCAGCTTTGTCCCTGTTCTGGCAAAGCTCTCGGCTTGCAGCGCAGTCCGAGCTCCTCTTGACTCCCTCCCCGATAAGCAAAAAGCAGAACATATTGAAGAAAAGGAGCTGCCCAAAGCCCAGCAAACCCCAAAACTCTCAAGAACCCTACAAAGTTGCTCGCCCCCCCCCCTCTTCCATGTACTCCCCCCCCTTCAACAGACTGCAACCTGAAGAAAGGGTTCTCAACAGGTTGGCCAGCGGCTCGAGGGCGTCACCGAGACCCTGGTACGGTCCTCCGAGGACCTGGTGAAGGCCCGGGGCAGCCCGCCGGGCAGCCCCGACTTTTTGGGGGCAAAGGGTGTAGTGTAGGGGGGAGGGGCTGTGCAAAATCGTAGGCCTAGCCTGGGGGGATGAGGGGAGGAAGTAGGTCTCGGAAGTTTGCAGGCCCTTGGAGTTCGTGGTTTGAAGGGTTCTGGACACGTGAGCGGACCTGGAGGCTTCTGGCTTGAGGGTAAAAAGGATATATCAGGGTCTAGGAAGGCTCTTTCTTGGGGTGGGGTAGGGAAGCCACTAACGTCATATATTTTGCGCCCTCGGCTCCAACCTTTTAACTGCTTTGCGAGTGCCACGCGAGCGGCAGCATGGCCAACTTGCGGGAAACGCGGGAGACGGAGCAGCAAGCCAAGGCGCCCCTGAACTGTCCTGGTTTGCATGGCCTGCAGCAGACGTCCGTGCCAGAACCGGGCCGTGTCTGCGACATCTGCGATCAGGTTCTGAAGCCGGGGTCCGAAGCCTTTGCCTGTAAGACCTGTGAGTTCGATGTGTGCCCGACGTGCCTGGATCAAGGCCTTGCTAGAGCCGATGTGCAAATCGAGAGGATAAAGAAACGAATTGACGGCTACACCAAGCGGCAGAGAGCGAGCTATGCTGACGAGGCCAAGCAGGCGGCAGCAAGAGCCGTGCTGCCAGCAGCCTTGTTGGAACTGTCGGACTCGGGAACAAGGACGGACGACGAGTTGATTCGAGAGCTACTGAAGTGGTTCAAGTTTGACTTTTTCCGGTGGGTCAACGGCCCCTCATGTGAGCAGTGCACGGCGAGTGCCACTCAACATGAAGGCATGACCGAACCCAATGAGGAAGAGCTCCGCTACGGTGCGACGCGGGTCGAAGCCTGGCGCTGTGGCGGATGCCACTCCCTTGTGAGGTTTCCAAGGTACGATGATCCGGCACGGCTGCTTGAGACACGCCGGGGAAGATGCGGGGAGTGGGCAAATTGCTTCACGCTGATCGTTACAGCTCTAGGATACAGAGCCCGGTTGGTGGTGGACTGGACCGACCACGTTTGGACAGAGGTTTGGTACAAGGGTGGCTGGCACCACTGTGACCCTTGTGAATCTTGCTTGGATGCACCTTTGATGTACGAAGCTGGATGGGGAAAGAAACTGACCTACATACTCGCCTTTGGCCAGCAGGAGGTGGTTGACGTAACTGCCAGATACACTTGTTCTTGGGCGGCAGTTCTCGAACGTCGCACTTTAATCTCGGAAGAGCAGCTGGCGCAGATTATCGAAGATGCAGACTCCCGCGTGCGGGGATGGCTTCCGATTCCGGCCTGGAGGGAGGAGGAGGAGTCCGAGCTCCAGCGGTGCAAGATGAAGAGCACTGGAAAAAGTAAGGCAGGGCTTTCAGCGGAGGAGCTTTCTGGGCGCAAGTCTGGCTCTGCAGAATGGCGCGCGCAGAGGGGGGAGCTGGGAGAGTTGGGTGCCAGCCCCGTCCCCCTCTACGTGACCGAGGCTTGCTTCCTCATCGACCCTTCGTGCAAGGGGCCGTCGTTACACTCAGCACAGCTGGTCTCCGGCGCATTGCCGGGGCTGCTGGCCGGTGTCAAGTGCTTGGAGTTGAGAGAACCCCTAGCAGCGGTGGAGGTGGAAGCCTTCTCACCAGCTGCCCCTGACCCATTCCTCTCTGCTGAGGGCTTCACAGTGGAGGCCTGGGTCGCTGCCTCTGAAAAGGAGCTGCAGCCTCTCGCTCACGCGAACCCCTTAATTTCGTGCCATGGGCCAGGTTCGGGATGGGAGCTGCGGCTTTGCGCCAGGGGAGGTATCGTCTTCTTGGTCACGGTCGATGGACGCCATCATGAGTTGCAAAGCACCGAGTGCTGCGAGTGGCGTGGCCAGTGGATTCATGTCGCGGGGACCTTCGACGGACGGGTCTCTCAGGTCTTCGTCGGCAAGGAGCCGATGGGGGAGCTTCAGGTCGTTGCTGAGGGATCCGAAGGCTGCCTTATTCCAAACAAGCTAGTGAACCGTCCTGAAAAGGGTTTTCAAACGAACCAGGGAAAGACTGAACATAAAGGGCAGGGAGCTGAATTTCGCTCCCCATCCCGCCCTTCCTGCCACACATCCCACGTTGCGCTGCTGCAGCAATGCTGTGCGTCAGGCATGCGGGTGGCATTTGAAGGGCCGCTGTGCCTGGGGAGAAATCCAGCCTGGAAGGAGCGTGGAGCCCGATGCTGGCTTCATGCTATGCGCATAACGTTGCGTGGCTGTCAATTCAACATTCGTGTTTTTTTTGGGTTTCTCTGCTTGAACCGAAGAGTCGTGTGATGAATTTCGCATGGTCCACCTGGGTCTAGGAAATCGGTCCTCGCAGCGCCCGAGTTCCTCCCTGCCCCAAAAGTGCATGGAAGCAGCTTCCTGTGACCACCGACATGAGCAAGATCGACAACGATCGACCGGCCAGCGTCCGGGGGTTCACCGACTCTGGGAATCTCTGGCATGCCTGGGCATGTCAGGGCTTGTCGGGTGTCACCAGCGACAGGCTTAACATGTGCTGCTGTCGTTTGAGCTTCCCCCGAGTGTCCTGTTGTGGCTGCGTTTGTGGCCAGAGGCACAGAGTGGGAGATTGTACATAGACGCAGAAATTTGAGCCCCGTGTGAAAGGCCTTTGTCTCAGTGTGCTTTTAGTGTTTGCATCTTCGCAGGTGGTGGCCACGGGGCTGGGCAACCGCAAGGTCCGTGCCACCAAGATGAACGCCGACTCCTCCAGGCGCGGGCAGCCGCAACAGACCGGATCTTCCATAGATGTCCGTAGAGGCTCGTGGCGGCTAGTGGAGGCTTTTGTAGGCTCTGAGATATGAGGTACTTGAGGTTCATTGCCAGGTCCCACCTCATGCTCATCATCAGCATGGACGTGACCGACAAGGAGACCGGAAGGCCCTCTCGGAGGTTCGGCAGGCACGAACCATCAGCAGTGGCACCTGAGGCGACGCTCTGGGAAGATTTCCATTGTGGACCTTGCAGGCAAGGTGCAAGGATTCTGGAAGGGCATGTAGAAGCCTGCCAGGCCTTGACTGTGCAAAAACTTGTTCACGACCCTGTAGCCCCGAGGATCCCTACGGCCCTACGGCGCTCGAGCCCCCAACCGTTCTCGTTTGGCCTTTATAGGGACGCTCGCCAGGCTCGGAGCGCCTGAGCAAGAGCGAGGTCACCGGTGAGGCACCGGCTTGGGAGTCCTGGGTTCGTAGGGTTCATGCAAGGCGTAAGGCCCCGAGGTTCAGGTGTACAGGACCCCCCAACTCTGCAAAACCAACAAGCAGCCCTCGGTCACCGAGATGCACCTTCCTCACTTTTTCTGAGTGCCAAGCCTTGCAGGCCCAGAAAGAGGCCATCGAGATCAACAAGTCGCTAACAGCGCTGGGGGATGTCAGGACCTCTGTTGATGTTTCTTTCCCACTGCAGTTATTGCATTTTCGAGGGTCGGAACATGTCAGAACACAAGTGCCCTTGTCTGTCAAGCTCAGAAGTTTGCGCCGAGGTAATGATGGCCTTTGCTTCTAGGGCCAAGCTGATCCCGCCTCCCTCCCAGACCGCAGTTTGGGTATGCGTGTGTATTGTAGCAGTGCAGGGCTTGGGACCCACGGACAAGGGCAGTGAACACCCGATGCGGCAGCCGGCAAGAGCCTGAGCCTGAGCTGGTGCGATCTGCCGGGCTCAGGTACCGCAACCACAAGTTGACGCAGCTGATGCAGGACCGCCTCCTGCGTCTTTGCAGCCACCGCAGCTCCTGTTTTTCCTGTCCAGCATTCCATGGCGTACTGGCAAATGCCTGTCAAGGACAGCTTGGGGGGCTCCGCGAAGACGTTGATGCAGCATGGGTGCATTATGGTGCATTGGTGCTGCAGCGCTTTGGTTTCCAGCATCGGAACCAGCGGCATCGCTGTGTGCACGATGTGAGCACACACCGTGAGCATGTGGCTGTTCTGTCGAACTTCAGGTTTGTCAATGTCTCGCCGCTGAAGCCTCAGCTCAGAAGCGCAGCCACCAAGCCAAACTGGCCCGAAGCCTTCCTAGGTCGTCATCGAATGCTGACGAAACCCTCAGCTCCCTCAAGTACGCCTCCAGAGCGAGGTACACTGTGGGGTGGAGACCCCAACTCCCCGTGAGTCAACTGCATAAGTTATGCAGTTTAGCATTCCCCCAAAGTGCTGATGTAAGGGGGGGGGGGGGAAGGATATGCGTGTCCCGAGCGTCGCCACTCCAACTTCGAAAAGCCGCTGGGAAGGTGCATCGAGAACGAGGTGAGGACCAACAACAACCAGAACCCGGGCACTAAGAGTGTGGGGCGATAAGGCCTGGGCTTCCCGAAGTGGCGAAGGTTCCTCATTCGTTCGCAGTCCTCCGCCACATATGCCTTGGGCATATTCTTGTGTTCTGCAATATTCTGCACAAGTCGCAATGTGCCGCTCCAGAATGCCCGCCTTTCGGCCAGGTGAGGTCACACTTTCTCTCGATGGCGGCGGAATTTCGTAGGACTTCCTTTCAGTTAGCCGGTTAGTGCGCAGGCTGAGAGTTTCTAGCTAGACAATGTACATAGCGCAGTTCCGGGACACCCTGGCACCTGGCAAGCTCAAAACCTTTCGGCAAAGTCCGGGGCTTCGACATCGTCTCACCGATGCATTCAAAAGTGACTCGGTTGGTCGCGCAGTCTTTCTTGGTACTGTTCTTGTTTGGTGCCCGCGCGGTCCGTGGAGTTTCCGGGCTGTTGTCTGCTTCAGGACGACCACCATTTCAAGTCTCAAGGCGGGTCCAGCGTTCTGACACAAAAAGCTCAGGCAACATAACTTCAGGGTTCACTTCGTCAACACGGAAAGGCAAAGCAGTAGTCTGACGCGGCCCGATGAAACCCTGGTAGTAGCGTTCAGCGAGCCTACGCCTCGGTCATCCGTTGAGTCGGTGCACCGCACCTCCGGAAAAGACGGTATCATAAGATAGTCTACAGAGTAATTATATCTGAGCAATATGATTCAAAGCCCAGCCATGTGGCCGCCCGAGAGGGTGACTGGTGACAGGCCCTGCGAGAGCAGAAGAGGAGTCGGCCGTGCGGTGCCATCGATGCACGGGTGATTTGCCGCATTTTGCCTCCCCCTGCCAGGAAGCAGCTCATCCTTTCCCAGGACACAGCTTGGTCTGCAAAGCATGCTTGGCGAGACTGCGTTCGGGAAAGCATCTAGCAGCTCCGCTTCGTCGCAGCAAGCCGCATGTTCCGCTGGACAGAGGCAGTTGGCCCATCCCAAACCCAAATGCGATAACGTAAGCACAGCTCCGCGGGCCATAACGTGCTTCCTGGCGTGGGCAGGTCAGCGACCTCGGCCCATGGACGTCTTAGCCTCGCCAGTGCTGCCTGCTTGGGGATCTGGGCGACCCGAGCCACCCGGGCCGCGCCAAAGCTGCGCGGCCAGTACCTTGGGAGCTCCCGGCGGCGGCTGGTCCGGGTGATGCGGTGGTCCCAGGCAACTAGCAGCCCCTTGGTCTGCAAAACCTTGTTCGTTGAAAGGCAGGCATGTCTGGTAAGCATCGGAAGGCCCATATGCCCTCCAAGAGGCCAAGAGGCCCAAGAGGCCAAGAGAGGCCAAGAGGCCACCTCAGCTGCCGAGGTACGGATGCATTCATGGAGCACCTTGCCTCTCTGGACAAGCAGCAGCTTCCCGAGGTGGAGGTGGAGCTCGCGACACGGGGCCATGATCGGCAACGGGTTGCTTTTTGTGTCTGTTGACGCATGTTCATCGTCCGTATGATTCCGTATGGATCTTCCTTACGTCCTCTGAATTCCTCAGCTCGTGGCCTCATCCGCTGTTTGGCTGAAGGACGGCTTTGGTGGACGGCGACGAGGAGCTCGTAGGGCGCACCATCCAGTTCCTGCTCGACGCTGGAGTGCATAAGACCGCGATTCAGATCTACCACAGGTGGGGCCCGGTACGAGCATCAGTCATCAGTCCATAGCAGTCCTCGATTCCCAGATATCGTAGATTTCGGTTATGTCGGATATGTTGGAGCTAAGGCTCTGACTAAAGCTCTGACATGGGTTGTGGTGCTTCAAGGCTTCAGTCGCCTAGCAACGAAGGAATCGTAGCCGACCCCCCATGGAAGATGTGCAAAAGGAATTGTTAGCATTGCATCGCTGTGAAGGTGGTGCTGGAATGACGAGAGGCCCGTTGAGCCAGAGTGTTCAAGCACCGAAGCATACGAAGCCAACGAGCCAACACCAGGGCCCCCCTTCCCCTGACAGGATTTCCGTACCCGTCGCTGTCGCTGGGGATGTGCTGCGTGTTCTGGCAGTCTACTCCCAGTATGAGTCTGCTGTCGCGCACGTTCACGGCTTGTTGAGCATGGAAGAGGTGAATGATTTAGATGCAGCAGCCCTCTTCAACAAGATTCTTCTGGGAATCCAGCAAGCTGGTCACCCGCTGACGGCGAACCGCGCAGAGCAAGTTCTTAAAAGCATGGTGGAGGCAGGAGTTGAACCTGACTGCGAAACATTGCGAATACTGGTGGAATGCAAGACGCTGTATGCTGGACCGGCATTTCTGACAGATGTCGGACAGACGGTGCTTAGTTTGGCACGGCGTTTCGTGGGCATCCCGCCCGATGGCCCGGCGCTGCTGGCGGTAAGCGCTGCGCACCTACGTGCCGGGGACTTGGAGGCTGCTTACAGATGGTTCGTGGCGAGCCAGCTAGAGGTGCGGAAGCAAGACCTGGGTGAGCCCCACGCGCTGGAGCTGGTGTCGCAGCTGGCACGAGGCCTTGCCGTTGGAGGCCAGGCGATTCGGCTGCTGCGCGTGCTACAGCAAGTGAAAGCCGATGGCGGGGAGCTCCCGGCTAATGCCATGTCAGTGTCCTTGGCTGGCTACACTGCAGGGCGAAGCCTCGCCACCTGCTGGCTCGAGCCGCCAGCAGACGTCGTGCGAAGACGTGGCATCTGGGCTTCCGAAGAGAAAGTGAAGGTGACTTGCGCAGAGCAGTGGAACTGGAAACAGCTTGAAGCATCGCGGCATGAGGTGTACCAGTGGTATCCATACTTGTCCCCGGATACCAAGCTCGAACGGGCATGGCTCACGCCCCTGCGAGCTCTCGACGTGGGGGCGTTGGGCCTCGTACGTGACTGGAGTGGAGAGACGCCAGCTCAGGCCACGGCCAGGGAACGACTTGGTGAGCGCACCGAAGAGCCCATGCTGGACATGAAGTCGGCACTCTGCGTGGAGCCACCGGGAGCAGCGAATTCCGGCTCCTTCTTCTCGGTCGCTGAGCGGACCAAGAGCAGGCCCGTGGCCTTGGTGCCAAAGCCAAGGACCTGGCGAAGCGTCCATGCAGACACCGTGAAGCGGGCTTATGGCAACAGCCAACGTCACCGAGCCCACAGCCCCCAACACCTCCGGCTTCTCGGCTGGCAGAGAAGTGCGGAGATGAAAGTGCGCAGCTACGCTTCTTCATTCTGTGCCCAAGGAAAATCCTCTTGGCAGAGAGGTCCTCTCAACTTCTACTGGGGGCCAAGCCGGTTCGCCTGGCTCTTGAAGAATCACAGGGGTTGACAGGGGGTTGACTGATACTGATGGTCGCATCTGTACGTAGTGCCTATAGAGTCCTAGAGCTTGAAGTGAGCTGCCTCATCGAGCCTGCATGATCCCAGTCGCTAAATTGCCAGGTCTCAGCGGCAATGCAGATGCCCTACGCGCAGCTTGAGGACGCTGGGCCGAGGGTGGCAGGTGGGTGTCGTCATCAACATAAGATGTGTGTAGCCAAACATAGTGTCATACAAGCGAGCCCAGTGTCAAAGCGAAATGAGAGCATCGAACTCTCCCTGTCGTCCTCGATGCCTAGGGTTGGGTTGAGAATGTACTCAAACAAGGCGTACCAGAGTTTTTGGAGCTAGCCTTACCTTCCACATCTTTCAAGAATCGTCCAATGCGACATCTACAAAGTTGTAAGACACGCTGGTGCCTGATCTCGTGCATTCTAGAAGTCTGAGTGCGGTTCCAATCTTTGATATGCGCCTGTCCTGAGTTTCATGTCTCCTTCCCTCGTGGTTTCTTGAATACAATGTGCAGCCTCAACCGTTTCCATCGATGACATGCATAAGCCTCTCCGGACAAGACACGAGGTTGACTTGAATCATGTGTGCTGCGTGCAGCACACTTCCCACGTACTATGTAATTTAATAACACCGAGATCAAAATGTTGCACCAGCAAAACCCGCACGGCCCCTTCGAACATCGGAGAGCACACCAGACAAAAAGCAGGAAGTCAAATCAGCGTTTGCCCTTTGGCGGAGCACAAGCTCATGCTCTGAAAAGTCGAATTGAGCACCACAACATCACAACTATCTCGTCAGCAACAGCAACAGAAGAAGCACAAGCGTGATATCGCAAGCTGCCAAACATCAACACACAGAGATAAGCACGGACTGCAGAACAGGATTGCCAGCAGGATGTCTGGAGTGGATATGGTTTATTCATGCCAATTTTGGTGCTTATGCTCCTGATCACTATTGCAGTGATTGCAAGATATTTTTTGACGCGCGAAGGAGATCGTGAAGTCTCTGAATGATGAGGAGAAGCAGGCTCTGCTCGGCTTTGAGGACCCGAGCGTTGTGTCGAGGGGGTGCCATCTGCTCTACGCTCCACTGCAGGGGCGCTTTCTAGCTGTTTTATATAAACACTAGTCGAAACAGGCTTCAGAGGCACGCATGCAGATTTTCGCACAGACCAGATGCATGCTTTCATAGATTGCGAATGATGACCACAGGTGAACACATATGTTGATCAAGTTTGAGAGTTTGAGCATGCTTGAAGTCCAAAGTACGTACATACGAATACAGAATCGACAGGATTCTTCGTGGCAGCCTAATTCATGCCACGGTCAAGTCTCAGCTTCGGGAACACTAAGAGTCACCTTCGACAGCTAGGCCAGCGGGGCGCGCAAAATAAGCTGAACTAAGGGTTTTTGCACATGACACATGTCGTCTCGAAGGAAAAGGTCAGCCTCGGGACACGCGTTGTACACTGGTGCCACAGAACTGCATGAATTCGCCTAAGCCTAAGCATGTTGTGTCCTTGTCGGTATGTCTCGCGCCCGGCTAGGACGCAAGCAACTTCACCAAAGAGGAGCTTCAAGAAGCCCTGCTCAACGCGAAGGTGCGCAGTGTGCACACATGCCCCTCGCCTCAGCAGCCCAGGCCCATGGGGTCCAGTAGTTTATAAAATTTCTACAGCACCAAACGCAGTGCATGGGCCGTCTTTCTCCATCGTGGGGTGGTGCCTCCCGGTTTTTTTTTGCTTCCGGCCACTAGCACCCCATCAGCTCTCAACCTTACTTCCCAATCCCGAGCACTGACACATATTCCTGCCACACCCCGAGCAAGAACAAACCGAGGTATGCAATTTTGAGCGTGATGTTTGGTCGCATGTGCCTTTGTATAGATCGTTGTGGAGATAGTTAAAAGATGCCTGCCCTAAGCCCCTAAACCGCAAATAGTCTGATAGCTCCTGCAAGTTCACGTTGGTAGCCCGATGCTCAAGGTTGTAATGTGGAGAGCTTACTCCAGTGTGTGCAAAGAAGAGAGTGACACCTGTCTGCTTTCAGGGGTTGTGGGGTTTCGTCGAAAAACCGGGACGTTTTGTTTTCTCTTTAGGGTGGTCAGCCCGAATTTCCATTTCCAGCACCTGTCGATTATCGCAACGGGTGGGTGCAAGTGTGGACACATTTGGTGTCCTGCGGAGGGGCTTAGAGGCGAGGTGGGAAACCAGTGAGTCTCTAAGGGGTTCCCTTTGATGCTCACGGCCGGAACCGAGGCGAATGTAGTTTATCAGTGGACTTGGGGTCCCAAGGCCCCCAAAAGCCCTAAACTTACGGAACACACCAGAACGCAGCAGGTCGATTCCGACCTCGTTTCTGGCAAGACGAAGGAAGCCGTCAAGGCCCGGCCTGCGGGGAGTTCACGTGAGAAGTAGGAAAGTCGTGGAAGGTAGGTACATATGCTGTGCATATCCGAGGATTGTCTTGTGGCTGGTGCTCCTGTATGCTCGATCTTCCTGCCAGTCCATGGTCAAGTTGGCCGTGGCCATCGCAAAGGGCGAGCCAGAGCCCAAGACACGAGACCCTTGCGTGAAACGTAGGAAGTAGGGACCCCCAGCCAATGATAGGGTGTTGGCAGCATGCCGCAAATGCCGCTGCAGGCCTTACGAAAAGTCCGTGTCGGATGAGGCCTCGCTCCACAATTTTTGGCTCCTCTACAGTCCTGCCGATGCATGGCCATGCATGCGCTTAGACGTGACCTTCTGGCTCACGCTTCCGGTCTCAAGGCGTACGTGAAAGCCGTGGAGGAGATGTCCGACGAGGAGTTGCAGGAAGCCTGGCAGGTGCCCCCACCGAGAGCCACCGACCCACAGACACCTTTGGGTCCCCCTAGTAGAAAAAAGCCCTTCACAAAAGAGATCTAAAATCCTTCCCCACCTGTTTCGAAGCCATCATCAAGGGCCGAAAGTATTCCAAGTGACACTCCTAAGAATTTGTACAGCTCGACTTCCTTGCATCATGTTCCATTTGCCAGCTCCTGTACGCCAAGCGAAGCACGGAAATCATGGGTGGGTGTCTCAGCATTCCATGTTCATCCTGGCGCTTCGCGAGTTGTGGAGAATCGTGTCCATGTGCTGCAATGCTAGACCTGCCCAGGCGAGGAGCTATCCAGTAGAGTGGAGGCGCGGTTTGCAGTACTCGGATGTGCTCGCATGACAGCCCCGCCCAGATACGTACGTCCTTGGGCTGACAATCACAATCTTGCATAGCCTAGGAAAGTATAACGTCTCTCGCTAATCTTGCTCCGCTCACCTGAGCTGGGGAACCCTAAGCACGCCTCTGACCTCTGGGGTCTTATACTTCTCAGTCAGCTTACGAGAAGAGAAGCGAAACTGAACCGAGAAGCAAGTGAAATTCTGTTTCGCCATGCAGCTCCTCGCTCTTTTTCCTGCATGGCCTTGCACCCAAACCCAAGCTGAAGCTTCGACTTTTGTGCGGCTGCATCCCGACTTGTCCTTTGCTCGGTTCTAAGCACCCCCTAGCTTCACTGACTTTGCTGCAGAAAGCAGCAGTCTTTGATGTGAAAACCCTAAGAGTGGTAGCAGGACCGCTTGCTCTCTGAGCTGGAGGCGGGTGCTGAAATCCCTGCCGTTTTGTGGGGATTTGGGGGTTCTTCGAATTTCGGGTCCCCCTTGTGAGGGACTTGCCACGATAGTCAAGGACTTTTTATGGTTTAGGGAGTTTAGGGGTGTTTTGATCAGGCAGAATAAGGTCAAGAGAAACGCGCGAGGTCTTCTGTACTCTTCGCCCAGTGTTCGACTCATGGCTATGTGCTTGTTGAGCTTGGTGTGCTTATTGCTTAAGCATCAGCTCGAGCTTCGTGGCTTCGTTTCACGAAAGCGCTGGGGTTCCTTGGCCCCTGATTTGGTGCTAGGAGGATGAACAGCGTGACGGGAGCGCAGAGGATGAGTTGCGCCTGGCCCGTCCCTGAGATGCGCAGCAGGAATGGAGCTGCAACCCAGCCAACGCTCAAACTCTTGCATGCCTCAGATTTGCCCAGTCGTCCTCGGAAGGCACTGGACATTCTCAACACTTTGCGTGATGTTGGGGTGCTGCGCTTAGCACGGTTTCTGTGTCAGGCGGGTGGACGTGAAACTTGCATCACCAAAAAGCGTTGCAGTCGAATGTGCAAAAGGGGGATGCAGGCCTGGAAGCGCACAACAGGGCTGCTGGAAGGTGAAAATGTAGAGTCTAGATGATGTATTGGCTTCGATCAACTGCAGTGCTTTGAAGAACCGTATGCCCCGCGGAATCTGAACAACGCTGACTTGGCGCCCTTTTCACACACAGGCTGACGCAAATCAAGATGATTCGGCTCAGCACGCCACACCCCCACAATCCACCTCCACCCCCCCCCCCTCCCCCGAGGCGGAGCCTTCCGCCATGGACTGCAAGGCCAGGCTGCGTGGGGTGGAGATGCCTTGACTCCTGGTTGCATGAGATCGAGAGCCCCGAAGTCCTGAAAAGAACGCCCAGAGAGAGGCCTTGCTGCAAGCTGCCCATAGCCTGGGCGATGCCGAGCTTGCTGGGCAGGCGTGGGAGTTAGGTCTGGGAGTTCTGCGCTCTCAGGCCCAATGCCGCCATGGAGCTTTACAGGGCTCACGCACACCGTGATCCGGGAATCCAAACTCCTGAAGCCTCTCTCCGACCCGAAACCTTGAACAGTTTGCCATCAGGCCTGCACAAGAATAGCATGGCCAGTGCTCGGCCAGGTTTTGGAGAATGTCGCCGGCACCCTCGAGAAGGAGGCTCGCGAGCTGTTGGCCGTGTGAAATGGTTGCTACTTGTTCGCACTGCAGCTTTGAAGCTGCACACAGCGACACTTCAGTACAGCACCGATACAAGCCGCTTGCCGAGAGTGTAAATGCATGAGGCTGGTCGACAGAACGCCCAGAAAAAGTGTGACAGTTTCCTGTGAGAACGAGCCTGAATCAATATGCTCCGCGCAGATGCTTCCAACAAGGTACTCGTAGGGTAGGGTAAGGGTCTGCATGAAAAGGCCTTAAGCAAGGACCTGTGAGAGATTGTCAGTGTAGGAGCCGGCGAACGAGCTTGGATCAGCTGGGCAAATGCTCCTGCAGGCGGTGGGATGGGCAGTCCATACCATCTCCTCCCCAAAATTCTCGAAACAGCCTTCATCCAAACTTTGACTTGCCACCCATGTTCGCGCGCTCTTTCTGCTTTCCTCATCTTCTCCCTTAGGCACGTGACCCATGCTGCTGTCAGGTGTGCTGTCTTGTTAGGAGCAAAGCAGCCCTCTTACTCCCGGACCCTCGAGTCAGACTCTAGTCCCCTTCAATGGTGTGCTTTCTTGGAGCATCTTTCAGAAAGATGTAAAGGCAAGTGCCCGGAGGCCATGGAAGATGGCGGCTGGCACAAGAAGACCTCCGAGGAGCCTCTCGTTCCCAAGCTCGGAATGAGCTCTTCAAAGCCAAGCAGCGCCAGGACTTCTTGAAAGGGAAGCGTGTCGTCACAAGGCGGCGGCGCTCTTCATTCGGTCGGCCGCCTGCCCATAGGAGGATGTAATTCTCTAGACTTCTTTTCAGGCGTGATCCCGAAGCACACCTGGGCCATCTGCAGACGAGGCAGGCAGTTGTCCTGTTAGCCTTTTGCGCCTTTTCAGCTTTTTCTATCATGTCTGTTGTCACGGTGTAGGTATCTGGATCCGCTTCAGGGCGCGGCGCCCGCCGAGCCCTTCTCGAAAGATCGCGATGATCTGCTTCAGGTGCTGACCTCAGTGTGGAGCCTCAAAACAGGCCAGCTCTTTCGCCGATGTGGGATGGGATGTCTTTTGGCAACCAGTGTACCGGTCGCACGCAACTTGTTTCGGAGGCCTTGACAAAGCCCTATCTGGATGAGATCGAACTGTGGAAAAGAGGAATAGCGAATAGGCCAGAGCTTGAGGGGGAAGACGAGGAAGAAGTGCGACAGCAGAGTGCCTTGGACTGCACTGGCGTAAATGACTTCTGCGCTTCGGCCGCACCATTCCGAGCTTCCCGTGTACATGACAGCATTGGGAGGCTTTCATCGGTTCATCGGCCACAGCTTTTGTCCGAGGCGTTGAGTGGAGCTACGAGAGGAGGGACGAGCTGTCGGGAGAAACCATACAGGCTCCCACTTGAGCGTATCTTCAGAAGCCCAATCCGCTGCAACGTTCTTTCGCAGAGGAGGTGCAGCTCGTGACGCGCTCGGACGTCCTAATGGCCGGCACATTGCACCCAGCCGAGGCTTGGTTTGTGATCCGCTTCGCAGGTCCTGAAGAAGGTTTCGTTTTGGGGGGCCTATGTCATCCTATGTCCATCTGAGGTCTTAGGGTTCAAGGACACGGGTACCTGTAGGGCATTCCTTCAAACTGATTCCTCGGTTTCCCTGACCCGCTTTCACCGCGTTGCAGGTATGCTTAGGGTTGAGCATGCTCGGTTTGTAACTAGCTGCGGACTTGTAAACCTCCGAGGCAAAGTGCCTCTCTCGGAATTCAACAGCACCTCATGGTCAGAGTGGAGGATCTTTTGTGTGGCGGCCGTGTGGTCCCTTTGGGCGCCCAATTAGAATTCGGAAGCTTTAAAAGAGGACCAAGATCATAACTGGCTCTTTCTGTTGACATCCAGACTTTGAACACAATGCATCCCGGGTCTGACATAGCATGACCTCCCCTTGCGTTGGAGGGGACTTTGTGTCCGGTCCGTCGGTGCGGTCCGTCGGGGATGCGGAGCGAAAAGGACTATACAGCCGAGAGGCGTTTTCGTGTGAGGCATCAAGGCCACCTCACCCAAAGGCATGCTACATGATGAGTGGTTTGTGTGCGTTCCAGAAACTGGCCATGCTATAGGAAGCCAGGATTCAGAAAGCTAGGTGGTTCAGGAAGCCAGGATTCAGGAAGTTAGGCGATTCAGGAAGCTGTTTGATTCAGGAAGTTGCTGAGAAACTGAGTGGATGCGATCCAGGAAGGAGGGTTGGGGGGCTGGGGGGGATGAGAACGTTCATCTCAAGCCTGCTAAAGGCCCACCGTTCAAGCAGCTGCAAGGGCGCTGATGGGGTGGGGGTGTGGCACCATCCCCACACGCCCTGCTAGGTTGCACTTTGAATGCAGCGGCCACTTCCCACATCCGGTTCAGGAGTTTGGGGTTCAGGGACTCTCGGAGAGGCAGTAATTTTTCGGCCTAGGAGCTGGCAGAGCGGCTGCCCCAAGTTTCCAGAGTTAGAGTTTTCCGAGTCGCCGTTTTCCGGTTTCGGGAATGAGCGAGATTCCCCATTGCTTGCCCGAGTCCGCGCTTTTGGTTTCCCGAATCCGCTTCTTTGCAGTTCCTCGAATCGGGTTTTCCAGTTTTCGAGTCCCCGGGTTTTCAGTTTCCAACTCCGCAGCTGACCACAATGAGTACCTAAACAACGTCACTGACGAAGTGCTGCAGCTGATTTGCAAAGAGTGAGTTCGCAGTTGGCAGGCCGAGGACTTGCTGGCATGGGACAAAGCCTCAGTTTTTGTATCGTTGGGGTTTTGGGGTTGAGTTCAGTGAGTTTTTTCGTATGCTTGGGCTTATGGCTAAGTATGGTTTAGTGACAAGTTTAGTGCTGTTGAGTGTGTTGGGTTTTGGGTTTAGCCCTGGCCGTTTCCTTGCAAGAAAGCATTGGACCCCCTGAGGTTCGTACCGACAGAAAGTGGTCCAGCTCCGTGAAAGTGGTCCTCCACGACCACTTGCATCGCTTGGGGTCCGCTCTGCCATTGTTACAGGTGTAGGAAACCCCGCAAAGCCCCAAGAAGGCCCTACAAAGAAGCCTTAGCCATGGACCTTGATCGAAAAACCCGAACCCCACCCTCCTTTAACCCCTTCCTGGCCAGGCTAGAGGTGCCCCCAGACGAGTCGCATTCGAGGAAGTTGTCTGGGGCTGAGGGCGGCTCTATTCAGGGTTCTCCAGTTCCTCCCATTCCTCCCAAGCGGACCGTTACAAGACCCAAAGTGCCTTTTGTGCCTTACTGCCTTGCTTCAAGTTGCAGAGCCCATTCTGAGGCTTACCTTTGTGGCAAAAGTCCTTGGGGAGGCTGCGGAGACGCGAGAAATGGTCGGATGACCGAACATGGCCGGACTGGCCATTAGCCGCTCGAAATACTGGCCTCCCCCGTGAGCCAGGGAATGCTAATGTGAGTATTGACTGACCTATCCGGATTTGCGAGAGCATTTCTTGGAGTTGTTTACTATGCTTACTGCGCGATGGCTGATATTCAGAATGGCCGCTGGCTATCTTTGGAATACGTAGGGTCAATGCAACTCTCTCACCTCAGTGCTATGGGTGACAAACAGAAGTCGAGCGTGGCAAGGTTGCGTGAGCCGAGTGAGTGTGGGTACGTATGTATGTCTGTCTGTCCGTCTGTCTGTCGGTCTGTCTGTCTGTCTGTATGTACGTACGTACGTAGGTATGTATGTATGTATGTATGTATGTATGTATGTATGTATGTATGTATGTATGTATGTATGTATGTATGTATGTATGTATGTATGTATGTATGTATGTATGTATGTCTGTGTGTGTGCGCGTGTGCGTGCGAGTCTTTTGATAGTGTGCTGGTCGCCGTGCTGCGCAGGAGTACCAGTTCTGCCGTTTTCGCTGTGTGCATGTATCCCATGCGCCTATGCAAGCTGCTGGCGCCTCCAATCCTTTCTCAAGCCTCTGGCGACAAAGGAATTTGCAACAGCCTCGATGCGTAAGGGATCAGCGACGCAATATGTTCCAGCTAGTCATACCTGGTGCTTTTTGCTGACTCTGCCCCAGCATAGTCTCTCTCTTGCTTTCTCTCCCTCTCTCTCCCTCTATATGGATATATAATATTATTAAACTTTCATTTGCATTTATAAGCAGTTGCTTGCAGTACTTTCCCTCAGCACATCTTAGCGTAGCAGCGTGACTACCTGCTATGCAGCCTGTGCGGTTGCATCGTGTGCAGTTTGTGCTGCTCGATCTTTACCATGTCCGTTGCTTCTGAGCCTTCGCTGGTCGCAGTTCCGGGCACCGCGGCCGCGGCATCCACGGCTCCCGCCCCTCCACCTGTGCCTGTGTTTACCGTTTGGGACTCCACGGGCGGTGAGACGGCCGAAGTCCTACTCCACTGGCATCGCAGCCTACCTGAGCTGCCCGATGATGAGGATCCCCTGTGCACCTTGCAGCTCTGCGTGGGCGAGCTGGAATTTCTGGAGGCCCGACTCCAGAAGCATCACCTGCAGCCCCCACTGGCAGCATGGACGTCCTCCCAACTGGAGCGGCTCATGGCCGTGATGGCAGATCAGCGGCGCGGCGCTCCGCCCAACCAGGACGAGGTGCGCCTTCGGCGGGCCCCGGGTCGCCTCGTCATCGACGTCCACTTCAGGAGCGAGGTCAGCATGGCCTTCTGCGACCCCCAAAGCTCCATTCCATTGAGTGGATGTGTGGTCGAGATCCTGAATGCCTACTCGCCAGATGCTCGGGCAGGGTGCTTGATCTTTGGCGAAGCTGTACGAGCGCTGTCAGGTCCGGCAGGTCTGCCCGCAGTGAGATCCTGGATGTGCTCCGGTGCCTCCGGCTTGGTTTAGAGAAAGGTCTGGCCCTGTTAGGGCGATTCGCGAAGGAGAATTCGACTTAGACCTGCCAAAGATCTCACGGATGCTGTGCATGTCGAAAAAAAGTCGCTGCCAGGGCCGTCACCGCGGCGCAGGCTCTACACACAAAGGCTATCGCCGAGAGCCGGACTTGCATCGAGGCATTTTTGTTTGATCTTTGGTGTAGTTGCCCGCGTTGGCTAGGTAAATGATCTGGGGCGGCGTTCCGTGCATGGGTTCCAGCCCGTCAGGGGCTGCAAAGCGAGATGGCCCGCCTTGAAGGCGACTGGGCACATGCTTGCGCCTGGACCCCGGAGCAGTGTCACGCGACGCGGAAATGCAATGAGTTTTTTGAATGTGTCCAAGAGGAGGCCAAATGCCAAAACCATCCGTGGCCCCGGAGGCCGGTGCGAAGAAGCGGCATCGCGGCCTTCTTCAGCGCTTTGCCCTTGTCTTGCAGGCCAAGATCGACAAGGCCTCTGACGTAGGGAGCATACTTGGAGCATAAGCGAGCCTAACCTGGAATTTGGAGTACAGGGGCTTGTGTGCATTCATTTCGAGGAGCGGGCGCTGCACGAAGAACTGCAGGACGGAGTCTTAAAAGGGTTCGTGCAGTCGGCTATGCGAGTAGAATGTGCACTCGCCGTAACCTGTACAGCTTTGCGCGTGACATTTGGCGACATTAAGTGAAGAAAGCAGCAAGGCATCTAGATGGTGTGCAAGAGATCATGGGCTGTTGACTGCACGTTTGTGTCCAAGCTGGAACATCCGTGGAGGTGCGGCGATGGAACCAGCTCGGTGAGGCCAGTGCCCAGCACTTACGGACATCTTGGCACCGCCCCGCAGGTTCTGTCGCTTTGCTTGGTCAAGCTTGTCGGAAGCTCAGGCCCCAGCAAAAGCGCTTGCACCACCTCCCGAGGCGCGTAGCTCGGGCATCGGCGCAGGGTTTGAGGGACATATTCTCGTCCTACTTACGGCAGAAAGTTTCGCAAAACATGGCACAACTTCTTTTTTCTCCTGGAGACATGCGGGGATTGCTACATGTGCCGGTTGTGTGGTTCTTCGGCTACAGGCCAATTGCAAAAGGAATGGGAGCTTGCGAGAGCTAGGGTTGCCATGCAGCCGCTGGCTCTGCTTGTTTCTGGTAGGAGCCACACGAGATGCGAGGGCGAGGGCGCAGGGGCCGGGGAGGCCAGCTTGAGGATTGGAATGTTTCGGATGCAGGGCCCTTCTGCTACTCACAGCCTCACATGCAGATCGATGTCCAGTGTCCACAATCGTTAAATCGTCACGTAAGTTCCCTGGCCTGTTGTGAATCTCCAAGCGGCCCGTTCGAGATCGTCGAGCTGCATGGCCCGCCAAAATCCCAAGTCCAGCAAAGCCTCCATCGTTCAGCTGAAATCCCAGAGAAGCGCTGCAGAACCCGAAGACACCCCCTCCTCTCGCGGCCAGGCGGGCGGCGGGGACGGGGCCGGGGAGTGGCGGCGGAGGGCGCCCCGCTTGCAAAGGAGCTTCGGAGCTTTCAACATGCCTTTGCAACATCCTCAACTCCCTGATCCCAAAACCATTCCAAAACCCTTGTGCCGCTCAAACACCAGGTGCTTCAACCCCCCCAAACCCCAAAACCCCTGAGCTTCCAAACGCCCCCCTAAAACATCTAAAACCCTCAAGCCCTCCTCTTCAAAAGCCCTTCCTTAAGATCCCCAAGAAACCTCCGGAAAACCCGAAGAGAACTCCTGAAAGCCCCTTCCAAGAGAACGGTCCCAAAATCAGGCGCGGAGCGGTCACCGAGCCCAAGAGGTGCCAAGCGCTGCCGGGAGGAGGCCCGGAGAGCCAGAGCCGGAGGGCTTGATCCCTTTGTTTTGTCTCTTTTGCTTTTTGTTTTGTTGAATGTACTTTCTTAGTGAATTTTTGCTTTCTTGCTATAGCTATCAGTACTTTCTTGCTGTTGTGGTTCTGCTTTCTCAATGTTGTGGTTCTGCTTTCTCAATTGGCACTGTTGGTTGGTTGGTTGGTTGGTTGGTTGGTTGGTTGGTTGTAGTTGCTTCGTCTCGTTTGTTTTTGTTGGTGTGTGGGGGGGGTTTCCGGTGTGACATTTCTCACGTGGTGTGGTTTGGAATATGCTCGGGCAAATGCACACATTGAGCGGATGCTAAGAAGATGCTTTAGGTTTTTCGTCTACCATGCGTGACGAAACGCGAGGAATGAGCCTTTCTCGTATTTCTTGTTGTTGGGAATCTTGGTGAGTCTTGTAGATCCAGGTGGACGAAGCACCTGCGGCAGCAGGCAGCCCAGCGGGTACCTTGGCGCCCGTGGGTACGGTGCCCGGGCCTGTGGGTACTGTCACGCAGGCCACGCCCGCGACTGTAGCAGACCTCACTCAATGGGGTGTTTGCATTCCAGGAGTTGAGCTCTGCTCGGCAGCTAGCATGACATCTTGCAGGGCCTCATGATGCCGCCTCCCACTGTGGCATCTGGCATGCCTCCGACGATCAGCTTGTTCGACCCCCCGTCAGACGAGGCCGATTGGATGCAAGTCGTCCGAGAATTTCTGCCTTCTAGTAGGTATTGTTAGGTGCTGTCCGGATGAAAGCTTGTCATCGCGGCCCAAAGAGGTATCCAAAATATCAGTGCATGGTGCGCGGAGGTGAGCCTTCGGCTCAAGCGGGGTGGGGGGAAAGACTTTCTCGCCCACTCGAGGCATGGAGGTCTCAGTTGAGATCACGGCCTTTGGTCGTGAGATGAGCTGCAGCCTCCATTTGGAGCAGGGCCTCCAGCAGATGAATGTGCTGTCGCACGTGGGCTTCTTACTCCAGATGTACATGTGTGCACGGACCTCAGATGCTGGGGGAGGGGGGGGGGGGCGGGGCCTGGGACATAAACCGCAACGATCGCTTACCCAAAATCTAAGTGGTTTAGGAAGTTGAGACAAAATACTGGGTCTGGGTGTTGGGGCCTGGCAGAGGTTTGCGGAGACGAAAAGCTTGGCGAGCTGAAGCAGCACAAGCAAACTCTGGAAGCGATGCAGTGCGAGGCCATAAAGATGTACACCCAGAGCTCCTCTGCAGACGAGGTCTGTGAAGTCTCTGTTTCTAGGCGTCCAGCGGGACATTCTGGGATGCCAGAGCCGGAGCCGGCTCAAGAGCACTTCGAAACTCTTGGAAGTCTTCCTGTCTGCAGGCTGGACGTCGAGGCCTTGGAGCGCACCTCCACGCGCAGTGCGCGCGCGCGCAGCGGCCCTGCAGAATTGGGCCATGCGGATCCACTGCCGTGCGATGACGCCTCCGACTCCCTGCCATCGGGCACAGAGAGTCGTCCCGACCGTGGCTGGAGCAGGCAGACTCAGTCACGGTGCTCCTTCGTGATCCCACGCATGATGCGCCCAAGGGCACGCAGTCGATCCAAGGCGTTCTCGGTGTCCCCTCCATCTCACATCCGACACTTTCGAGATTGGGGCTTCCCGCCTTTTCCACAGCAAGATTCAGGTTCCGATTCCAACTAGCCAACTAGCTCAGGTTTGCCTGGTGCCGCCGCCAGTGTTTTCGATGACCCTCATCGAGTCATCGCTCGTGCGACTTCTGCGTCCTGCATATTTGGGCTTGTCAGAGGCCAGGTGTGGTGGCCAGAGCCCGAACCACAATTCACAAGTCAGGATGGGTTGCCTAAAGCACTGTGGTAGAAACTTTAGTAGTTACCAGGTTTTAGGGAACTTCTACAGAGTCTTTCTGACCTCCACCATGCACGTACTACGGAGTACAGCCTCCTAAAGGGGGATACTCCTGCTCATTCGCCGAAGACAACCCTTTCGGGGACCCTTTTCCACAAGACGGCCCTTAGCCCCGGAGAGTCTCGAGACAGCATGTTCATGCCCTGTTTCGGTCGTCTCATCTTCAGGGCGGTGCGAGTTTGATTTGGCATTTGGCAGGGAGCTTCTGGGCGGCATGCGGCCACACACGAAAAGAAGTTGGTGAACAATAGGTCCCAAATCTTTTCAGACTAGCTAGGTTACACATGCTGACACGATGCCTAGCGGGTGATGCACTTGGTACAATCGTGGTACTATGGCAGTCTCCGATCAAGATGCACTTGAGGACGTGGGTGACCTCATGCCTAGATGCCCCCCCGGACCCCCCTGAGCCAGGGACGTACTTTCAAAACCTGTACAGCTAGTTGTTTTTGCGACAGATTCTGCAGAGCAGAAAAAAGCTAAAAAGCTTCTCCGGCATCCCTGACTTCTTCTGGATGTGTTCTGTCTGATCTCTTTGAACTCCGAGAGTTCCCACACGAGCACTGTCCTAGTGCTCCTTTCTCGGCTTCAGGAGCCGAGTGCGCCGGCGGTGACGCGGGGTCTGCCCGCTGCCCCTCCGCCCGCAACAAGATGTCCCGAGGACGGGGGTGCTGGAGTTGGGGAGAATGTGGGAGAATCCCGGGCCTTCCCCTTTCGTTCAGCTGCTGAGCCGCCCGGGGAGAATGTCCGAAAACTTACTGGGTAAGTGCAGGGTGCACGGTTTGCTTGGGGAGATTCTCTGCTCAGGAGCCCGCTGCGCCCAAAGGGCCACCGCGACCTGCGGGTGTGAGCACAACTGATGACTTGTTCTTCAGCGATGGAGAGTGAGGAAAGACAGGTGACTTACATACATGCATGCGCACAAGTTGCAGGTTCTGTGGCTAAGACTAATATTCAAATGGCGTCGGTCTTATCGGGGATGTGGGGTGGGAGCAGGGTATTTAGGCCAGGTTGTATGTGAATGAATGAGTTTGAACTCAAGCATATACACGGGGAGATTGCGAAACCCCTGGTTCGTCAGTCGGTTGTGCGACAGCAGCCGTGTCCCTGTAGCCATTTTGAGGCTCTGTTCTCCGTTGAGCCCAATTTACGTACTCCTATTTGTGCTAACACTCTACACCTCAGCCCGGCGCTGGCCTCTGAGCTCCAGCTCTGGGTCATTTAAGTTGTCCAGCTGATGCTGTTGACAGCGCTTAGATGTTTTTGAGCTCGATGTCTGGATGTGGATAGGTTAATGCTGTCATGCTGAGGCTGAGCTTGAAGACTGTTAGCCATACATTCTTTCAGGCCGGCGCTGATCGGCTGTTTTCGGAGCTTGAGAGGTTTGGTGAAGGGTTCTGGTGTCACAGTGCGGCCAGACGAACGTTATTGAACGTGTGAGAGTTCTCCATGCCTCATCTTGCGATGGCAGGTGTCCTTTGCGGAGCTCTCCATAAACTTCAAATGACTGGCCCTATGCAGCTTGCAATGAAAGATGAGGGAGGCTAGGGTTGGGATATGTTGGGATCTTCCCCCTGGTACTAGCAGTCCTGAATAGGGATTCTAGTCGGGGGTACTAGAACCCCTATTAAGGACTATTAGTATAAGGTCAACATCCCAATGCTAGGGCAGACCAGGCTTGGCATGTAGATTGGTAGGTGCTACGGGCAGAGTCCGCCCAGGATGTGGATCGCAGTGCAAGATCTGATGCAGGCCCGGAGTATCCCAGATCATCCTAGATCCATCGCTTGCGCCAGCTGGTTTGAGCAGGGTTGTTTTTATTATGTGTGTGTGTGTTTTTGTTTGTGGGGGGCAGGGAGGGGGCTCGGCTTCGCGGCTTTCAGGCTTTCAGGGTTCTGGGTTTGCGGCTCTCGCGTTCCGTGGCTTCTGGGGTTGTTAGCTGTGTTTCGTGAAAATCATCGTTGCTACTTTCGATATTGCTATTGCTGTCTGTGCACGGAGGAAGCCTCTCGCTTTCGAAGTATCTTCGCTCTTCAAGTAACCTTGGTGGAGATCCCCCGGACTTCGGTAAGAGCCGGGCTTGTCCCCCCTTTGTAAGGGTCTTGTGGAAAGCAGCGTGAGGTTGCCCTGGTGGTAGCCTGCGTGTTTGCCGGATGGTCTCTACAGACGCTGCGATCCCAGGGCATGAATCGTGATGTGATGGGTTCGGTGGCAGGTGAAACTTTCCATGGTCAAGCCAGCCTGGGACTCCACTGTGTCCCAATTTTGTGACACAGTTCTTCAGAACTTCGCGACAGGCTGTGGTAAGCGTTTAAAGGCCCCCGAGAAGTGTGAGGAATGTACGCATGTCCTGCAGCGCAGCAAGGTCCGCCTGCTCGTTCCTCCTGCAGCGCATGACCTTTCCTCTCAAGAAGGTGCAGACCGAAGCAACACGCTGATTGCGTTTGTGGAAGGTTCTGGGGGTTTGGGATTGATGAGGCTTTGCCCCTCTGCAACGTGACATGGCGTAGTTCCCAGAGCCACACGCAGCTTGCTCTCCACATGCCTTATCAGAGTGCCATGTAGAGGTACGGTAAGGGGCACCGTTGACCATCTTTTCCTTTCACCAGCCTAGAACTCGTGTAACCCAGGCCAAGCACACCATTCACAAACCCGTGACCTTCAGACCGTGGACTTTACCACGGATCCATATTGCAGTGACTCGACCGAGGACGCGTGGGGGAAGTTTAGGCTGTGAGGTACACAGGCTCAGGGCCATCCTTTGTGTGCTGAGCATTTTGCTGAACGAATGTAGTGATGCACGCGCCTAGTGGTGCACGAGCGTAGTATGCGTGAAGTCGTGCTGCAAGCACGAACACACACTGGCACTGCGGGGGCGTAAGTTTCCTGAACACGGCATCCGTCTCCCCTCCGCAGGAGGACAACGTCAGCTGCGGTGATTGCAGAGAGGTGGCATTGGGATGGAAGGGGCTAGGTTCTCTCAAGGGTCTTCTGGAACGCAAGATCCAGTATCCGTTACCGATGCCTTGCACAGTCGGGCGCACACACAGTAATTACCCTTTTGGCTCTGCTGTCTGGTTGCGGAAGCGTCAGAGGAAGTGACAAACCGACGCAAGCAAGCTGGGACAGTCACCAGCGTTTGGAGCGGCAGCTCTCCACCCGAAGCAAAAAGGTGACACCCTATGTGAACCCCAAGCCCTAACCCTAAACCCTGAACCCTAAACACAAAACCCTAAACCCTAAACCCTAAACCCTTAAACCTGAACCCTAAACCCTAAGCCCTAAACCCTGACTTCCCTAAGCCCTGTCAAGCCGACGCTGCAACTCCAGGTCTTCGTCCAAGACGAGGACGCCCCCTGCGCAGGGAATCGGCAAAGAGGGTTTCCGACCCTTTTTGGAGATTTCCGAAAATAGGGGTACCCTTTTTTGGGGGTTCCTTTAAAAGGATTATATATATATACATATATTGTATTTTGGGGGTATATAAGGGGTACCCCTATTTTCGGAAGTCCCCAGTTGAAGGTTTCTACGTGAGCCTCAACAAGGTTGTCGCCAACACAGCCAGTAAAAGTTGCCCTTCTTATAGCCCCACTTGTATCTACCCATGAACCTCCAAGTATAGGGCCTGCGGCCAAGGCCTCAGAGGGCGCTTTCTTCCTGGGGGGGCCCTCTAGGCCGTGTCAGCCTCACTACTGGGCAGCAAGAATCCACGAGCCTCTTCCACCGCATACAAGGCCACACATCTTTAGGAGTTTACGATAATAAGGGATCCCAAATTTAGCCGACAATAATAGGATCCCCTTGTCATAAGGACCCCAAGAGGGTATGCCTTTAGGTGTCTCATGTGGAGATGTGTCAGGACATCCCTCAGGGTCTCAAGATCCTTGAGTGGGTGCCTCAGAGCCGCGTGCGTGGGAGGGGGGGGGTCTTGGAAGTCCTCCTAGAGTTTCGGAGCTGAGGGTTTAGGGTTAGTAAAAGGGCTTGGGGTTTAGGGTCTGTCGGAGTTGTGGACTTGCAATGCTGAATCCAAAGCCCCCAGGCAGTGAAGTACACTGTAAACTCCAAGGCCCTAACCCCATTCAAGGCAGTACGGCGCCTTCGGTGCAGCACCAGGTGCCTGGACGAGCCTTGCCTCAACTGCATGCAACACCAAGATTGTCATCAATTTCGAATTTCAAGATAGACTCAGCTTCCGTGACTCCTGTCAAGACCAATGTGACCTGCTGTGTAATCTGTGCCATCTTTCAACTGAGGAGCAGAGTTGCGCACAAGGCGCGCGGGATGGAGCAAACTTGAACTCTTGGGTCGAACGATGCGGTCCCAGCCAGTCCCAGCTGCAAAGTCCCTCAAAGCTTCATCGAGGCCGTGGCCTGAAGACGGCAGAGCCACTTGGCTTGCACCCAGTTCATGCATTAGATCAAGAGTTCGCAGGGGATCTATATTGGCGGTCAAGAAAGGCCCCAACTTCCGGCTTTTTCGCGAGGAAATCATGCAGCACATGCCCGTATTAATTTTAACGCTACGCGACCCGCCTCGGCCCGGCCCAGCGCATCCGCGTGAGCATGGTGATTCCGCAGTGCCCAAGTCGCTGGACCCCAAGCAATAAGGGTTGGGTTGAGGGTTGAGGGTTGAGGGTTCCGGGTTTATGGTTTATGGTTTGGGGTTTGGGGTTGAGGGTTAGTCTAGGGCTCAAGGTTCACGCTTTGGGGTTGAGGTTTTTTTGGGTTTAGGGTTCGGCTTGGAGTGATCGTAGTTGAGCCAGGCCCCTTAAGGTTTAAGGCGACTCTTCGGCAGGGTGGGGCGGTGGGGGGGGGGGGAGGGTGGGGGGGGGGGGGGGGGGGGGGGGGGGGGGGGGGGGGGGGGGGGTGGGGGGGGGGGGGGGGGGGGGGGGGGGGGGGGGGGGGGGGGAGGGGGGCTGGGAGGGGCTTCAACTGCCTCTCATACTGGCGAACCGTCCGCTTGCGGACCCCGGTTTCCCAGGGGGGGTACCCATTTGAGGCCAAAAAAAGGGGTCCGAAAAAGGGCTTTGGGTGTGGGGGGAGGATTCGGAGGGGGGTGCCTGTTCTGACAACCTATACACCTTCGGCCCGAGGCCTCGGCGGATTCTACGAGCTTTGCATAGCTTTGCCGTATTTTCATTTGTCTTTATAGTAAATTAGAAATTCCAAGCCAAAAAACCATTCAATATGAGATCCCAAACTGAAGTAAAAACCCAAATGCAAGAACTCCCAAGATGAAGTAACAGTATCATTACAGTTCGGGTTGTTAAGCGTCTGCGTATGTGCAAAATTCATGTCTCGGAGGCTCAGAGGCAGAGGTGTTTTCATTGTGTCCGTCTTTTGCGTGTGCGGATATCGTTTGGCCGTGCGCTACTCTGGCTGTGCTATCAGTGTCCGTGCTTGTTCCTGTATGCTTCTCTTGCGTGGTAGGCTTACCACGGGATGACGAGGAAAGGAAGCGTCAACTTGTGCCTACAGACAACAAGGATGATGCCAAGACTGAGACTAACAACGTGCACACGACGTTGGCCATTCCTGCAAGGTCAGACGGTTGCTTCGTGGGCAACACAGGCAGAACACATGGCAAAACAACATTGTTCGCCTGTAAGGCGGAACGGACGCGAGTTGTATGTCAAGCGAGCGTTGCCTACAAGTGATTTTTGTCTCCTGCAGTACCCGGTCATGGAGACAGAGATTGCTACGGGGCTCTCCTTCTTATTGTCCGAGGTCCTTTGGTTGATGCACCAGCGGGGCATGGCAGACATGCCCAAAAAGCGGATGAGAACTTAAAGCATTGTTGCTGCGCAATGTTTCAAATTTCAAAGTCAGCATTGCTGCAAGCCGCATGCGATCAGACCAAGCAGTGGCAAAGATGCGCTTGCGTTGCGTTGCTGGGTGTGAGTCGCAAACCCTTATATTTAGTGACAATATGGTGGTGATGTTTCACTATCTTCAGCAGAATCACAGGCAGTCTGAATGTTAGTCTTTTCTTGTGTATTAAAACTAAGCCATTCCCATTTCGAGGGAAATTTTCGCGAGCGTATCGTACAGCTGCAATCAAGAGATCTAAATCAATCACTCGCCCCAAAATACACTCCACTTTTCAAAATCCCCGATCAAGTTCTGCTTTTCGCTGTTGACTTTTGCAGCTCTATTCCTGACACGCCTTGCGTCGCTTTCCTTGAACGCATATCCTCAACTCAACCTCAAGTGCATTGTCCTTGCTTCTATGGGTATTGTTTTTGTCGCTGATGCAGCCGGTTTCTATATCATATGAAAATAGTACCTCCAAACTATGGTCTGTCTACTGTGTCGTTTGCTCCATTTTATCATGTTTTGAATTAATCTCTGGGCGAAAGCTGGATACCCTCATCAAAGGGTCGGGGGGAGATGCCAATTTGGGCAAAATGCCCTGGCCCCCACAATTGCAGCCAAGATGTCGCATCAATGGTCGAAAAGATGAACCTCGTCCACCCCGAGATTCCCCAGAACGGAGACCGACAGCCCCGAAACCAAACGGAACACCGCAGCAAACACAAAGACCAGGAAACAGCCAGCCACCAAAGCCCGAACACCCCGACACAGTTCCCACCAGCGGTGGAGGGCAGGCGAGCGCGGGTCTCGCACCTCGCGGAGGCGTGCGACGCCGCACTTTGCTTTGCGCCCCGGGCAATTGGGGGACTTAGACTCCACAGTGCAGGGCTGCCTCGCCAGCTTGGGAGGCTGGCTGCTGTCTCCGCAAACGTGGCGGCATGCCAGGCTCGGTTTGCGGGGGCCCGCCGGAGAAGACGTCGGGCACCAACCTGGCCAATGAGGCGGACGTTGCTGCCAAGTATGAAAACGGCAACGTCTATACTGTTAGAAATGCCTTATTTGATGATGTTTACATAGGGTCAGCAACTGTTTCATATCAAAGCGTGTGGTGTAACCTAGATACTATGCCAACACACAACTTCATCTATCAATCTTGCATACGTTTATGAACGAAACAGACGTTGATCACTTCTATGTTGAATTTGTTGAAACTGTTCTTGTAGCTCAGTCGAATAATTGCAAAATATCAAGACAAATAGGAACATGTAATGAAGACAGAACCGGATAAACAAACATGAAAGAGTTAATGAGGATGCGAGGCAACAAGATTGGCATGACCCCAACTTTGCTAATGAAACAAAAGCCGTGGAAGTCCATAAAAATAGGAATGCAAAATGTCATGAGTTACATCAATTTTGACATAAATGGCAAGATACATCGCGTTTGAAAAGAAGCATCATCAAGCATATTAAGCCAACAAAGTGACTAGTAGCTGTAGGCAGTTGCTTTTCCAGCTTGAAGTTCAGGCTTATGCTGTCACACACCGAGGCTTCGAGAAGGTTTGACCTGTCATTGAAGCTGCTGCCCCAGTCCGTCACAGTTTTCCAGTTGAAGCTGATCTGTGTGTTGTACTGCAGGATGCGCAGCAAAATGCCATGCATATGCACGGTGCCAGTGATTGGGGGGGGGGGGTGCCATGGCGTATGCTTTTCGCGACGCACGGAAGCCGTCCCGGAGAAATTCTGCTCAGGACCAGTCCATATTCGCTGGGCCACCTCGGTGGCCAGTCTCTTTTGACTGATACCTCCATGTGGCCTTAGCGGGCCGGTGCAGGTCCGACTCTGAAGCCGCTGTTGTCTCTGTTGTGGTTCGAAGAAGGGACGAAGCCTGCATGTTTCGCAGGCCTCACAAGCCTGCACCGCGCCCCACTTCCATATCCAGCCGAGCATGGAGCTCAGTATCCCTTCCACAGGAGGTCTTTGTGGCGTGACGGTCGAACATCCTAGCACATGTCTAGCATCCAAGGCTGCACCAGGCTGCGGCACAACTTGAGAACAGACTTCCATATTTACGACTTACCTGTGATAGCATTTCGCCGAGACCGGAGTCGCTACCACTCGACTCTTCGGTCTACGTTTTTGGCTTAGAGGGGCCAGAGAAATGTGAATTAGCCAAAAGGTTGTTTTCAAGACGTGTCAAGGTTGTTAAGCCTGGTGAAGCCTGGTCTGCGCTTGTTCAACGGTTTAGATCTCTGTGTCTGTGTCTCAGCCGGGTACGTACATTGTCGCTCTCCGGGAGCATCCTGACGCTCCTGTTTGGGATGGACCGATCCTTCCCAGGGTTTGGCCGGAATGCAGTAACACGGCCTGCGTTGTACAGGTGAGCCATGTTGACCGGAGACGTGCCAGCATCAGTGGCTGAAAAAAGCACGCGCTTCTTTGAAGTTTCGAAGCCGCGCTTCGCAATCACAAGGCAGGCAGCCCCCAGCAGTTTGACGACGTCCCCAAGTCCTAGGGCGGTCTGGGTTTCTCGGCTTCCCCCATGCATTCATGACGTGACCTGTCGGCAGTTTATGTAATCTTATGTGGCTCGAAGCGTCTGCACCAGACCTCGTTCGAAAAGTGGGACTCAGGATGAGCCTGGGCCATGAGCCATGAGCCATGTGCAAAGGGCTATCAAGTTGCACAACTCGGAAGAACACCACGACCTTGCAAAGGAAAGTGTTGCCTCGCACTTCACAACTTCACAGAGCGGAGCCCTTCGGAGCCCTAAAGATCCCCAATAAAGCAGCGCCTTTGAAGCCGCCCTTAAGTCGCCGCCATGGGCTTCGCAGCCCCTCCAGCTTCGGCTTCCTGCAAGGGTCCCAGAAGGTTTCTCTGTCTTCAGGCTTCCGTTGTTATATTGGGGAGCCTCCTCCCTTCTCTGTCTTCTGCAAAATGGATACCCAAAGAAGGGATCAGAGTTGAGAGAGCTGCCGCCTGGAGCTCCGACTTGGCAGAGCTTCCGAGGCCGGCGCTCCTCTGGCTTCACAAGCCTTCGCGCAGCAAAGATCTGCCTCGCTGTGGCGATCACAGCCTCATGGGGCTCGCGGCTTTTCGTCGCTAGCCATCTGAGACCCTGCAGAGGTCGGGGTGTTTTTTTTTTGCTTCGCTGAGCTGATCTCGTATCCTTCCTGTCTAATTTTCATTGATTTCCATTCTGAGCCTGGTTCCTTGGTACTTGTGGCTTGACTTGCTTATGGGTAGATTTGGGTTTCTGCCCGTTCCGGTGTGGATTTTTGAGGTGGGGCTGTCATTTCAGGATAATGCTTCCCTGTTTCATAATGAATCACCCTTAGGCTTGTTCTGTCTTGCTCCGCACTACAACCGCCAGCACGCATCCACCACTACCAGCACCACCCGCTACCGCCCTCACCGCTCCACAGCACAGCACTGCACACCGCAGGGTCAACGCCCTGCCAACTCATGAAGATGAACCCTGACAGCATTCACAGACGGCTTGCAGGCCCCAGCCAGACCAGCCCGTAAGCTGACCTAAGCTTGGGCACAGGGGGGGGGGCAGGTCCCTAGCAGCTAGAACTTCCGTGTCATCAGCATGGTGAAGGAATGTGGCCCCCTGCCCAGGGCACCATGATCCCCGTGCCCGCCGCAGCCGCCTTGGGCGCGCGGCAGAAGACACGATGGGCGAGCTCTTTACCAAGTACTACCGCCTCCAGGAGAGGGCAGAACTCCAGAACTTCGACTTTTGTGCAGAAGGAGCTGCGGCTCTCTTGTCTGAGATCTTCCTGAGGAGGTGAACCGGAATCTCGAGGCCGTGGTGCTGCGCTCCAATCGCAAAATTGCGAATCGCTCCCCGCTCCCAACTCTGCTCACTCATGCCTCAGCCCCAAACTGCCCTACAAGGCCCTCAGTTTCCCGGATTGGCATTGGCCCGTGTATCCGCTGTAGGAAGGGAACCCTTGTGACCTTTCGGAGACCTGCCCGTGAGCTTTGGGCCCTGCTTTCACTGCAGCGCTTGCGCCAGGGAGACACGAAGGTCGCCGTGGTCTCCGAGCTGCTCGAGGTCCCAAGAGTTCCTGAGAGTGGGAAGTCGGGCAAGATATGCCATGCTGATATTATGAACAATAATAATACTAGTAAAAATGTTTATCGTAAACGGTGGTAACAAAATATTACTGTTACTATTACAGTTCTACATTGCATGACTGCTCCACAAAGTCCCGAAGTCGCACATGGTGGGGAGCTGGCCTCCTTCAAAGAGCAGGGCCCCGTGCGCTTCTCTCTTTGGAGGTCCTGGATGACCTGGAGCGCGGGGCCAGCCAGGACGGCGGCACTGGCGGTTCTTCCACGCTGCGGCACCCGAGCGGCATTCTGGCCTTCGAGCATGTCTATCAGATTCGGAGTACTTCTGGATGAAAGCCTTCCAAGCCCTCTCAGCTATCCGGCTCATGAAACATGAACCATGACCTAGAGCGAAGTCCCAATGTCCCCCCCCACCCCGAAAGCCCTGACACCCTGGCCGAGAAGCCTGGCGGACAAGTTCCAGGGCCGGTCCGGACCTCGGCTCCAGAAGTGGGCAGGAAGGAGAGAGAGAGTTCAGCAGCTGCGTATGTTCTAAGGGTTTTTACAAGGTGGACACATGGCGTCAGAGTTCACAAGACCAAGTGCCGGCACTCTTGAGTACCTTGCAATCTCCCTTCAAGGCTAGCGCGTAAGGTCCACGAGCACATGATGACCCTCTTCCAAAAGCGGTCCAAAGCGTGAAATGCTACGGAACCATCTTCTGAGGCTTCAGTCGCTCGGCTTTGAGAGGATACAGGCCGGGCTTGTCCTTCGCAGCTGCGCCCGCCGCAAAACATAGGTGAGAAGAGATGGTGGCATGTTGAATCGGCTGTCAGCTCCCAAAGCTCCCAAACACCAAGCGGACCGGAGCTTGGAAATGCTTGGAAGCTTGGGGCCTTGGCGTGCAGCTCCGAGTAGCTCCGCTCCGTGTAGCTCCAGGCGCTGGGCGGCGTTTTCGACCCCGCCGAGCATGAGGTCCTCCTGGGCACGGTGGCCGTCAGTCGAAGTTGTGGCACAAGCATTTGCCCACATAGGTGCCTTCAGGTTAGGTCAGGTCATGCTGATCCCATACCCAGCAGTGAGGGTGTTGCTGCTTCTCTCCTCTGAGGGATGGTCGGGGCTCTACGGGATCCTGTAACGATACGTTCTATGTCCGCTATCGAGCTGCGTCAAAGGTCTGTCCTCAACGGGATTTCCCCCAAGCCCCAGAAGCCACTTGTGGTTTCTGCGGAGGCCGCCTCGCAACGCCCAGCAGAGGGCCAGCCCCAGGGCACGGTCTGCGAGGAGCTGAGGCGCTTGGGGGGCCTTGGGACGGGGCGTTCTAACATGCGTGAATCCTCCGAATCTCCTCATGAACAAAAAGAGGCCAGGTGTGTTCCTACGCTCGCACACCGGTCTCCTACAGGCTTGCGAAACTCAGCCCGGAAAACCGCCGAGTCGACCTCTCTTGCCGCAGGTCCGGCTGGAAGCTCGGCGATCGCAGCCTGGATTCCATCATCAGCTCACAGGGCCATACATAGGCGTGCCAAGCCGGTGCACGGGGTGCCAAATATTGTGCTCAGCGTGACCAATGGATTGCATTCCTTCCAAGGCATCGTGCGGCCGGCGGTGGTAGTGGTGGCATCCTGAGCTTTGCGGTCGGCCCTGTAGTGCCGCTTATGAGGAGCGACGGTTGGTGGGTCCTTTGCTGGCCTCCTGCTGCTCTTTAGTGCTACTCCCGCGTCTGCCAGAGCAAAAATGCTGCTGTGCACCTGTCCTGCCCTAGCGAGCGCCCGGAGGCATCTAGGGGACTACGTCTCCCTGTAGCTGCCATTTGGCTGATAGGAATTGGGGTGAGGAAGGCGAGTGCAGTGCGCAACGCTTGAAGCATGGGCATGGCTGCCAAAAGCTGCAGCAATCAATAGAGTTCAAACCTTCCTGTAGCCGTTCAGGGTTTGCGACAGCGGAGAACGACGAGCCGTGTTTTAACGGGGAGGAGCGAGCCAGCAAACAATTGACAGATCTGCGGAAAGCAAGAGCTTCAGCAGTGCTTGGCTGGAGCGATGGCGAGCCATCCGCTGGATACGGCATCCTGCCCCAGCCGCCGCTCGGTTCTGATGGGTTGAGGGGTTCGCGGTTTCAGGACGTTGCTTCGTCTCAGCGGTGAATTAGACGCTTGAAGTGTGGCTGTCTCTCACCAACCGCTCAAACTGCTTCGAGAGGTTCAGTGTGCGACTCATGCTGTGAGGCTTTTGGCTGCTCTGGCTGTGGCCGCTCTTGCGCAAAGGTGCGCAGAAGCCTCTCAAAGAAGAGGACATGTACGAGCAACTCGGAAGCGACTATATTGGAAGTATCTTGAAGTGACACTGCCTAAACATAGGCCAAAGAAGAAGGCCCTGACTTGCTGCACAAAGGATTCCAGAATGTCTTCGTGCCGGGGCGCTGGATCCGTGTTGGTATGCCCAGTTGAAGAAGATGAAGGCACCATGTGGGGGTTTACGACAAAATCCCCAAATAGTAGGATCCCCTTCTTATAAGGACCCCAATAAGGTACCCTTAATATCGGAAACCCGCATTTTTGACATGCAGGTCGAGGGACCTCGCATCTCAGTTCTCTGGCTGCTGATGCGGACGTTTGGGTGGAGATACGTCTTCATCCTGGTAACATTTTCCGTCTGGCTCGCAAGCCTGTCGCTGCTCCCCTTCCTCACCGAAAGCCTCTTTGAATGGCTGGCAGAAGGCCAGCACATCTATGGTTCAGTGGATTCCGGGTTCTAGCCTCTGTACATTGCAGACTTCATCTGCGCCTGGTTTCACCAGCTTTGGATGTGACTGCCCAGGCGACAGCGTCCTCGGCGGATTGGGATGGTCCGCAATTCTAGTTTGCAGCGGAGGCCTCAGGATCCCATTGCAGCCTGGAGCTATGCGGAGCTGCGGAGCTGAGAGAACACACAGCCAAGGCTACCTCGTGAACTGCAATGCCGCCTGTCAGTGGTATCAGCAGACCACCTTCCTGGGCTGCGAGCTACGAGCCTCCGCAGCCATGCTTGCGACTTGGCCCCATGACATCCCATGACCAAAGAGGGATTTGAGGGATTGTTGGGCTTCTTGGCCCGTGGGCAAGAATAGACAGGTTGTTGGTGAGATTTTGTGGCTCACGATGTCATGCACAGAGACTCCTGCCCCGCAATCTTTCACTCCCCCACCTTGAGAGACTGGTCAGGCTAGCTACGCGGGCGTACAGCTGCACCCTTAAGCTAATGAATTGGAGCCCTTCATTGTGGTCGACCGGCTTTTTGAGCGGCGCCAGGTCTTCCGCCGGGCGCTGCAGCTGCAGGTCCAGGATGCCGACAAGGACGTGGCGCTCAACCTGATGCAGGCTCAGAGTCTTTCTTTGGGGAGGAGGGAGTGCTAAATGGGGGTCCGGGCGCTTATTTGGGTTTGGGGGTTTAGGAGTTCATTGTTTTGGGTTCAGGGTTCAGGGTGCAAGGCTGTGTCTGAAGGTTCATGAGCTCACGAAAGCACTTGATCGAAAGTCTATAAGTCTAGAACCTTAATTCAGGAAGATGTATCCCTACCTATGTTTACCCGTGAACCTTCGCAGTTGAGGTCGAGACCGGATTTTGGAAGGTTTCAGCTTGCAGTTCCCAATGTGCTACCAGCTGCACAGTCCCCATACGCTAAAATGCAGCCTCTTTCCTTATCATAACTCCCTCTGGGACAAGAACTCATGAGTTTCCAACATGAGCTCTCGCACAGTGATTGTACACAACTTGAGCAAGTGCGGGCTACCGAGCAATGCAGGTGGATGCCGAGCGTTTGTACATCTTCGCGCAGCTGAACCACCTGCTGTATGTGGCGCTTTAGCCTTGTTTAGGGTTTGGGATGCAGACTTGAGAGCCAGCGGGCTTGTCAACGATCGATTTCAGGTGCTGCTGAAGGTTTTGGGGTGGCATGGTCTTTATCATCTGGCATTGTGCTGTAGTTAGGCGACCGCAGCTTTCGAACTTCGAACGAGACATGAGTGAAGACAAGCTGCAAAGCACCTTAGGCCCTCGTCGTGCTGCTCACAACTTCGGCATACTTGAGACTTGGACGGAATGGCTGCCTGCCTGATGTCAGCCAGCTCCAGCAGTCCTAGCTGACTGGCGCAAGTGTTCTTCTCGTCCCTCGCGGCATCCTGCGACATTCTTTGGCACCTGTTGATAGACCCCAGGATTGCGCTGGAGGGGCCCGCGGTGGCGGCGATGGCCATGTCTGTGGTGATTGCCGCTGGGCTCACATCGTTTTTGTCAAACAGGGCCAAAGCCACCCAAACCTCATATACCTCATAGCGCTTAAACTCTGGAGAAGGCTGCTGCAACTTTGTTATTGGTGAATCATCGGTATTCTCTTCCCTCTTCAGGCGACTTTGGTCCTCCAGAGCCTCGTGAGCCGTCGGGCCTCCCCTGCGCGGCGGCGGATGCAGCAGTGCCTTGGCAAGCGGGTTTTTTTCAGGGTTTAGGGTTTAGGGTTTTGGGTTTTGGGATTTTGGGGTTCTCAGGCATTGAGCCAGGTGCTCTTGAAAGGGATGTGAGAGGGATGTCCTTCGGCCTGGGTGTCTAATTCAGACGCCGCCCTGCCAGGTGTTCCGACGAGCGCATCTCGCTGTTGGCCGAGGTGCTCGATGCTTCGACCTCAGCAGACTCAAAGCATCGGAGCAAGAAGCTTGCTCTTCAACTTTCGCATGCGAGCAGCTTGGAAGTTTGAAAGAGGAGTGCTGCTGGCTCTCCCATCCGCCAGCCTGCATACATGCTACAAGCGCCCTCTCAGGCTGTGCGAGTTCTGAAGATGTATGGCTGGGCGCACCACCTTCAAGGCCGCATCGAGGACGGCGCCGGCTTCTCCCCAGAAGTCCCTTCGAGACCCTCCCTCCCCAAAAAAGAATTCTCGCGCACAAGCCCGAACCCTGAATCTTACACCTGTCTAAGTCTCTTAAAACCACAGAACAGCAACGCATATGGCTGAGCACCCCAAACCACGGAACTCCTCCCGGGATTCCAAGACCCAACGCAGGAGATCCGGCGTCGGGAGCTGCGGGCCGCTGCCTTCTACCTGGGTTTGAGGGCTTTCAGCAGTGCATTGCTCTACTGCTCGCCCCTGCTATCCATGCTGGCTGTCCTGACCATGATGCATCTCCAGGACAGGGGTGCTGCTGAGTTTTCGGGCGGCCTCTCTTCCTCTCTTCTTGCCTCTTCTTGTCTCTGCCTCTTGCCTTCCGGGTAAGCGCGGCTGACAGGACAAGGAGCTGTCGGCGGAGCGGGTTTTCCTGATCTTCACGACCGTGGGCTTGGTGCGAGCTCCTCTCGGAGGCGTTGCCATGGGCTTCACAGCCGTAGTCGACGGGCTCGCCGCCTTTCGCCGTCTGGACGCGTTTGTGAGCCAGAGCTGCCGGGCATTGTTTCAGAAACAAAGATGGGGGGGGGGTTCGCGAACGGTTCGTGTGCCCCGCGCAGTTACGTGTTGCGTGCACCAAGGATCCTTCGACCTCTACCAGGAGGACCTTCGTGATGCGGAAGCTGCGAAGGTGCAGACCGCGGAGGCGCCGGAGGCGGCGGAGGCTGCAGAGGTCTGCGAGGCCGAGATTGAGGGAAGCTTTGCCCACGGCTCGGAGAAAAACTTCGAGCTCACCGCCGACCTGACCCTGCGCCCCGGTGGGGGGCCTGATTCTGCAAGTTGTAATGACGAGCATATAGGAGTATAAGGAAGACTAATGTAGAGCGCCACCACAGCAAACAATGCCACAAAGGAGTGCCCTTTGCGAATCCCCTCCTCAGCTGCAGTCTGTCCAAGTCATAAGCTGCTGGCCACTTCTTTTACCGTGCAAAGCTGCAGCCCAAACTCGAAAGCTGCTGTTCCACAAGGTGAGCTGGTGGCGGTCTGCGGCCGAGTTGCCGCGGGGAAGTCCTCGCGACTCTGCCGCATCCGCAGCCACCACTTCACCAGCTCAAGCCCGAAACCCTAAACCTTCAACCCTGAACCCTAAACCCGAATCCATCTAGACCGGGACTCCCAACCCCCCCCCCAAAAAATAAAAAACAAAAACTAAAACAAACAAAACAACACAAAACAAAAAAACAAAACATCCTCCAAAGCCCGACAAACCCTACTTGAAGCCTTACCAAGCCCGAAACCCTAACAAGGACCGAAACCCTAAACCCTAAACCCTAAACCCTAAACCCCAAACCCTAAACCCTAAACCCTAAACCCTGAACCCTGAACCCTGAACCCTGAACCCTAACCCTAAACCCTAAACCCGAAACCCTAAACCCCAAAAAACCCCCAAACAATGGTCTGTCAAGCCGGCCCCCCGTTCCCCCGTGAGGCTTCTCTTGGGGCTCCTGGGTGAGCTGCAGTCGCTGGGCGGGCGCCAGGCGCTTCCGGGAGGTGCCTTTTGCAGCCCCCCCCCCCCCTTGATAGGGTTTAGGGTTTGGGGTTTGGGGTTTAGGGTTTCGGGTTTAGGGTTACAGGTTTAGGGTTTGGGGTTTAGGGTTGAGGGTTTAGGGGGGTTAGGGGGGTTAGGGGGCTTAGGGAGTTTTAGGGGGTTTAGGGTTCAGGGTTCAGGGTTTAGGATTTAGGGTTTGGGGTCTAAGCGAATCTTAATTAAGGTTGAAAATAGTAGGAGGTTTGAGGACCATGTTTTTCAGGGGCTTTATGTAGGGCTTGAGGTGGTTCAGGAATTTTCGCGTTTTGGGGTGGGGTCTGTCTAATCGAGGTCTTGGAGCTTAGGAGTCAGATGAGTGAACCATTTCAAGGGTATATCTAGGAAGGAGGAGTGTTGGAGCATGTTGTAGCAGCTTCCATGTTCCATGCTGTTCGTGCGTGCCTTCGAGGTTTCGACTACCGACTCTTCCAGACAACTGGAGACAAACTGGGGTTTTCCGAAAGTTGGGGGGTACCTTATTGGGGTCCTTTTTTCAAGGGGATCCTACTATTTGGGGATCCATATTGGGGGTCCCCAATTTTCGTAAACCCCAATTCGAAACAGGTGTGGCCTACCTGGCGCAATCGCCCTGGATCCGCAGTGGCACGGTCCGGGAAGTCGTTGTCCAGGAGCTGCCGTTCGATGAGAAGAAGTACTGGTGACCGGGCCCAGCAGTTGAACTGTTTTCCTGCTTCGGCAGACATTGAACCCTTGCCTACCTTGCGCAGCAGTTGAATTGTCATTGAAGGGAGAGTCAAGAGTGGTTGAGTTTCTTTTGGGTTGACTCCAGAAGTCCAGAACAGAGGCCTGACGGACCTTTAGTGAGAAGTTTCTCAGGTGCGCGGTCCGTGCCGCCCAGCTTGGCCCAGACCTGCGTGACCTGGCTTGCAATTGGGGCAAATCACGGTTTGTGCTGCATTCAGAGATTCAGGGCGCCGTGTGCGATCAGGCCAGCCAGGCTCTTCCTTTCACTCCCGCATATCTGTGATGATTCGCTTCTGGAATGTAGAAGGAAGCGCGATCAACAACTCTCCAATGCCACTCCCTTGTCAGCTTGGCGTTGAAACTGTTTCCATAGCATAACTTGCTATGGAGTGTACTGCAGTGTGTCTGAAGCCTCTCCCCTGCCGCCGAAGACACGTGGTCACCTTCGAAAGTGCGGCCACTTTGCTTTAGTGCTTACTTGCTGCAGGCGAGTGGACGGGCGGGGATCACCATGCTGTTGGCGCCCGTGGCACCACGCTCAGTGGAGGACAACGGACAAGGCCGCCGGTTCTGGAGGTGTTGATGTGTCATTCAAGCCATTTCTGGGTCAGAATGGTTCACAGTTGAGTATCCACATGTTCAGCGCGAACAGATGCCGCCACGGCAATATTTGGTAGCGTTGCTCTTGATATCACATCCGAGTATAGCGTTATGTGGAGGTTGGTGGCTCGACTGTGCGTATGGCGGTGCAGTAGTGCTCAGAGTACTTGTTCTCCCTAAGCATTGTAAACTGCCCTCTGCATCGAGTCGCTCCTGCAATCGCTGATGCCATTCTTTGACACCTGGGGCAGGTTGGGCCTTGCACACGTCCTGTACCGCCTGCTGGCTGAGAAGGGGTCATCAGCTCCCATGGTTTTCTGCCCGATTCCCCCCGATTTATCCGTTGATTGCCCAGGCTGCCTGGTGGCGGACGTGCGCCTCGTGCTCTTGGATGACTGCCTGGCCGCCGTGGACCCTCACGTGGCCAGGGCCATCTGTGAGGAAGCCTTGCTAGGTCCCGGGGGGGGGGGGGGGGGGGGGGGGGGGGGGGGGGGAGCTCACAGCGGCTTGAGTCAGAGAGGGCACCTCTTTGGGGGGGGGTGGGAGTTGTGTTTCGTTTGCTCCCTCGGAGGCATTCTTCTCCAAGAGGGGCGATCCGTGGTCATGGTGATGAACTCCAACTTTGTGGCGCTCCGTGCAGCATCCCGGATCGTGAATATGGAGCATGGGCGGGCGTCGATGTACACCAGCGTACAAGCGTGGATAGCTGACTGCTCTCAAGCAACCAAAGAGTCCTGCTTGCAGACCTTGGCCGACATCAAGGCGCGACCGCCTTCGGATGCAGGCGACAATTGCTCTGCGGAGGAGGGAGATGTTCTAGAATGCGCTGAGCAGTCGCGCACAGGGGTGCTCAGCACCAAGACCCTCACCTACTACTTCGGGTCCGGTCGGCATGCGGCAGGAGTTGTCTTCTTGTACTTCATTCTGATGAGCATGGTGGCAGTCGAGGGCCTCCGTATTTATTCCGACTACTTCATGGGTGTCTGGGCTGCGCGTGATTTGGCCAACACTGCAGCGGAGTCCAGCGAGGACTTCCAGACATTCTGCCTGTGGGTGCTGCTGGCTGTTTTCGGCGCTTTTCTGCGGGGCTGGTTGGTGATCCATGTTGCGCTCAAGTCGTCGGAGAACATCCACCACCGGCTCCTTGAGCGATTGATGTCGGCACCCATTGGCCTCTTCGACACCACACCGCGCGGGCGCATCCTGGGCCACTTCTCGAAAGACCTGGACGCGGTGGACGCGCTGCTGCCCCAGTACTTGCTGGACTTCCTGCAGGCGAGGGCTCCGTTGGGTCGCAGCCTGCTTCTCTTGCAAGTTCTGACATGCGCTCAGTCCCATGGTGTTGGGTTTTGTTGGTTCTGTATGCAAAAACCCCACAGCAGGGGGACCCTAATCTTCACCAACCCCCATATGGCTAGTTCGTTTAACGCTAATACAATTGCTGCGAAGGGAACCATAGTTTACACGAAGCCCTTAGACCATACACTATACACTCTAGCCTACAGCGTTCAGTGCTCTCCAGGACATGACGATGCTCCTGGGTATTGTGGTCGTATGCGTGTGGTCGACGCCGCTTGCCGCTCTGGCGGTTGTCCCAGCCTGGCTCTCGGTTCAACGAAGCCGAGGGCGACATTGTTCGTAGGATTGTTGGTAGTAGCGCGCATTTAACTCCAGGCCTGCATTGTCTTAAGGGGTATGTTTTGGGGCTATGCAGAGGTTCGTCACATCTCCCACCGTTGTCCTGAGGTTCTCTTTGGCTTCTACAAAATCCGGCACTTCTTCAGCCGCCAGCTGCTCAGTACTGGGCATGTGTGCATGACGAGTGGGGCGGTGGTAGCGGTGTCGAGTGGTGTTGACCGGCGCTAATCGAAGCGAGCTCCATCGGAGCTCTAGCATCGTTTTAGCCAGAATGGAGAACCCCTCAGGACCGACATATCGGGGTTTTTTCTGCTCGTTTTCGTCCAGAAAGTACCCTGCGACAAGCAACGCTCTGAGCCTCAACCCACAAACACCCTCAAGCACCTCAATGCAAGGGTTCGGGAGTACTTGGCCATCCGGCATCTCTGTGTAAGTAGCGCCACAGGCTCCTTCACTTCCTTTTGCCGACGTGAGGCACCGCGCGGGAAGCCAAGCGCCTCGACGGCGTGACCCGGGCGCCTCTCTACTCGGCCCGGAGCGGGGGATGGGAGAGCATTGGGGCTTGGATGTTTTGAGTCGCTTCGCCTTGTAGGATTGACTCTGTCCATCTGTGGGCCATCTGCGCACGCTGGCAGGCCATGGGCGACGTCGCAGATGGGTTGGCCACCCTGCACCTTGGAAGCAAGATCGACTTTGACGTGCCCAGTCGGCCTATGACGACCTTCTTTTTGGTTTCGGCCGAGGCGGGCGCATGGGCAGCAGGAGGGTCTGGTGAAGCAGTTCCAAGCTCTGCTCGACCGGAATGGCAAGGCTGGGGAGGGGAAAACCAGTAGCAACTGAAGTGAAGCTGCGAAGTCAGAGCTGCCGAAGGTCTTCTTCCAGACGTACATCCTGCAGCCCTGGTGTGCCTAAGCGCAAGATAGCGGGAGTGCGTGCCTCAATGCCCTCTCAACGTATGGCAAGGCCCTATCCAACCCCTACAGTCTTACACCTCCAAACATCTCATCACTTTTGATCGGCTCCACATAAGATCTGCTCTCTAAATTATGCTCCTTAAATTTTTGGGTGCCTTGTAAATGGACCATAATCTAGACGACGGACAAGCTAGCCCGAAGTGCCACACCAGGCATTCTGGTCCTGGATAGCCTTGGCTCAGCGATCGTCTGCATCGCCTGCGTGTTTTGTGTGCTACTCCGCGACAGCCTTCCAGTCCCTGGGCAACCTAAACCCAACCCTAAACCCTAAACCCTGAACCCTAAACCCCAAACTAAGCCCTAAGCCCTAAGCCCTAAACCCCAACCACAAGTTGCAAGGTTCGAGAGCTGCGGGGTTTGGTCACTTGTAGTTTGTCGCCTCGGCCCTGGGCAGTTGGTGGTGCGAAACCAAGGCCAGCACCTCAACGATGGCGATCTCCTATGCCTTGATGACGAGACCTGGCTTGGGAGCCCAAGCCCCAAGACCCCAAGACACGAAGTCCCCCGAACCCCCCCCCCCCCCCCCCCCCCCCCCGCAATAACCCCCAAAAACCCTAAGCCCCCCCCAAGAAGCCTAAAGTCCCAAAAACTTTGACCGAGCAGGGCCTAGAGTTCAAGTGATTCCACCAAGGAGGGGGAAGCTGCAGTTCTGCCTCTCGGCCGAGCCGAAGAATGCTTCAAAGTAGATGTTGGGGTCGAGCTGAAGACTTTAGGGCTTAGGGGTTTGGGGTTTAGGATTTTCGGGTTCAGGGTTCAGGCCTGTCAGGGTTCGCGATGTGTGGAAGTGAAGCCGAGGCATTCGACTCTCCATCGAGGCCAGGGAAGAAGCCCCCGGGGGATCGCCGCACACTTTTGCAGATGGGTGGTTGTCTGTCCCAAAATAAATATACACATAAAGATATGTGTATAAATACGGCACCCCTATAGTAAGAGCCGCCCAAAAGGGGCCCCAACTTGCAAAAACTGCCTATATGATTCCCTTCCCCCGAAAAGTAGCAAAGGTGACGGGCCCTCACTTGGAAAAAGCTACCCATGCGATTCCCTGGAGGCCGAGAACCAGCTGGTGGCCGCGGAACGGCTGGCGCAGTTCGAGGCCCTGTTGGGCACGGTGGCCCTAAGCCATGATGGGTTCAGCCGTGAAGGTCTCTTTGGCAACAGGCAAAACCGTAGAAAGAGTTACCACGAGGCCCGGCTCAAGGCCCATGATGGCCCATGCACCTCTGCAGCTCTTCCTGGGCCAAAGGCGGTGATCCCCGAAGAGCCTGCCGAGGGCACAGCCCCACCTGGAGATTGGCCAAGGGAAGGCCTGACTGGTGTGAAAGTGGCCCCTATAGGTCCCTTCCAAGGTATCTGCGGGGTCTCGTAGACAGCACAGAAGTCTTCGTGACTCCGCTCGTGACTGCTGCGCTTGAGAAATATCTCTCCGATTCCTTCCACAGGCGCTACATCCCTAAACCTTATTTGTCGGTGACGAGGCAAGCTCACCTTCGAGTCCGTTTCCATGCGCTACAGGGCAGATCTCCCGCAGGCAGGGCTTGGAAGTTTGGCAAAGGCACCTTGCGCGATTTCAGCTGCTGTCCGCTCACTCGCGTGAGGTGCTGAAGGGCTTCGATCTCCAGGTCACTCCCGGTCACAAGGCTGGATCCGGCAGTCCGTCAGTTGATGGGCGGTTTCCATGCTCGTAGGCACACGACTGATCAACCGCGTGCGGCAGACTACCCCAAACCCTCTGAACCCTGAACCCTTTAAACCCTGCGTGCAGGTGAGCCTGGTGGGCCGCACGGGCAGCGGCAAGTCCAGCCTCCTCGGGGCCCTGTCCCTCGGTAGAATTCGAAGACACGGGTTTTCATGGGGTTTTAGGGTCTAGGGTTTGGGTTTTTAGGGTTCGGGTTTGAGGGCGCGCAGGCTTCAAGAGTGTAGGGCTTGTGCTTCTGGGCTTCGCCACAAACCCTAGAGACCCCCCTCCCCAGACAAGCCGGCGTGGCCTAAACCCCCATACAACGTCTCTAGCATTCTCAGATATTGGCTCAGCCTTCTATGCCTTTGGAGGTGGGGCCGAACTTGTCTCTGAACCCGAACTTCCTGATCCCAAGTCCGAAGGGCTAACTGCGTCCAGCTCAGGCTGAGAGTGGTGAACCTGGATGCAGGGCGCATCTGCATTGACGGCGCCTCGCAAAGTACGTTACCCAACAAAATCGCACTTGCTGATTTAGAAGAACTGGTGCGATGATGGATGGACATGATGATGATGATGATGACGATGATGATGATGATGATGATGACGATGATGACGTCGCCGACGACGATGATGACAATTGATGATGATGATGATGATGATGATGATGACGATGATTACGTCGCCGACGACGATGATGACAATTGATGATGATGATGATGATGATGAAGAAGAAGATGATGATGATGATGATGATGACAATCAGGATGGCGGTGATTATGATGTCGACGACGACGATGAAGGTGATCTTTGCCTGAGTTGTTGTCGCCCTCAGACTGTGCTCGTCGAACTCGAACTGCTACTCTCATAGTTAGTTGAAGTTCATTGCCCTAAGCCAAGGCCTGGATATTGCGAGCGTACCTCTGCAAACCCTGCGCAGCGCAGTATCTCTGATTCCTCAGGACAGGGGCTCGCAGAGTCAGTGTTTGTTTTTTTTGGGGCAAGGCCTGCAAAAAAGGTCCCCTTGTTTTGCTGACCCGACCCTTTTTAAACAACTATACATTCTGCAAGGGTTAAGCGCATAGGTCGCGGGTGTCAAATTTTCGGTCGTAGATAGGGCGCAGAAACAAAAGCCATCAGACATGAATGACATGAAGCAGGCCATGGCAGGGTGCCCCCAGGAACCACCAAAAGATTTGCACCGTGCATCTTCCTTACGACTGCCTTTAACCAACTCTGCATGGCGATCTGGGCGTCGTATTTTGGGGGATTTATTATCTTGATTCGGGGTCTGTTTCGCAGTTTCGCGTGCGTGCACAACAAACCATGCCTGCTCCACAGCACGCGCAGCCCTCAAAGTGCCATTGAGCAAGCGAAGTTGGTAGCCTCCAGCTTGCGCAGCCACAGACCGGGCCTGAACGGCAAAATCCAGCATCGTGAGCACTGTTCATCGCCATGCCTATGGCAGAGCAGGCATTCCTAACAGAAGCAGCGTCCCCGCTCGGACCTTAAACCCCAAACCGTACATCCCAAACCCCAAACCCTGAACCCTGAACCCCTGAACCCTGAACCCTGAACCTTGAACACTGAACCCTTTACCCTGAACCCTGAACCCTGAACCCTGAACCCTGAACCCTGAACCCTGAACCCTGAACCCTGAACCCTAAACCCTAAACCCTAAACCCTAAACCCTAAACCCTAAACCCTAAACCCTAAACCCTACCCTTGGGGAGGAGCCCGTGCTCTGGAGCGGCTCCGTGGCCGAGAACCTGGATCCCACAGGCTGCCTTCCAGAGGATCAGCTCCGGGCAGCGCTGGCCAAGGCCCAGGGGTTTAGGGTTTTTAGGGTTTAGGGTTTTGGGGTTTAGGGTTTAGGGGTTTAGGGTTTAGGGTTTTTAGGGTTTAGGGTTTTGGGGTTTGGGGTTTAGGAGTTTAGGGTGTAGGGTTTCGGGTTTAAGGGTTAGGAGGTTTAAAGGTGGCTTATATGGGTTGATAAGGGTCTGAAAAGGTTTTGGTATAGGGAGATGGAGCGGTAGGGGAAGGCTCCCTTCGCGCTGCCTGGCCGACGGCATGTCCTCGCACAAGCAGCGTTCAATGCGCGAGGATGTGTCACGTTCGGGCTGTGGGGGCGCCTCACTAACGACAGCTTCCCAACATCCATTCTCTCCGCATCCTAACATAGTGTGATGCAGATCCACTTGGACTCCAAGCTCGACGCATTGGGCGGCCTTGCGGCGCGCGTGGAGAGGCAAGGAAGGGGAGATGCGGGAATGTGGCGCTAAGAGTTCCAAGAGCCGAAAGACTTTTGTCTTTACCGTAGATCGACCACTGGCCACAGAAGAAAACATGTTGTCGGCGAGGAGCGACATCTTGCGGTAACTGCTTCAGTCATCTCCCTGCTTAGCAGAGCATGGCGTAACACTCCTCGTAGATCCATAGATGCAAACTGCAAAGGAGTGGAGGGAACTTCAGCCTTGGCCAGAGGCAGCTGTGGCTCGGCAACATCGCACGCGTCCTTGCCTCCTTTCCTCTCAGATCCAATTCTCTGCGTGATCTTTTGCGTGTGCATAGGGTGGAAGTGTTCAACAACTACGAAGAGACATAGACTCCACATCCTGCAATCGCCCCCCACCCCCCCCGCCTTGGGGTCCTTGCCACACGCAAGGCTGTGCATTGCGAGATGCATTGCAAGAAGCAGTCGGGTCGTTCTCGTGGATGAAGCAACATCCTGTGTTGATGGCGAAACGGACGCGATCATTCAGGAGGCTCTCCGCACCCAGTTCTACAACTGCACAATGCTGGTCGTGGCGCATCGGCTCCAGACGATTATGGATGCCGATCTGGTTGCTGTGCTGGATGCGGGATGCGTCGTTGAAACAGGCAGGTCTCGGTTGAGGGAGCTGGGTGGATCAAAGTGAGGAGGCGCCACGTTGAGATAACTCAACATCGCAGCACTGGCGAAGTTGCCTTGGTCCAGGGCTCCCTGTGGCGTGAGGTTTACTTTTGAGAGTTCCTGGGTTCTTGGGGCACCCGCAGTTGATACTATCCTCAGCCGTGAAGGCCACCCGGCAACGCTTTGCGCGGACCCAACGACTCGCTTCGCGCAGATGGCCGCGCGGGCTCCAGCAGAGGCCTGCAAACACTTGCCAACTCCAAATCGCTCACGTTCCTTACTGTCCATGATTATGATTATGATTATGATTATGATTATGATTATGATTGTTGTGATTGCTACTGCTACTGCAGTTGGTCTGCAACTTCCTTCTGCACCCACAGTGTCGGCATCCCATAGCATTTTCCCGTTTCTTTGCCAGGCTGGGGCCTCGCGAGGCACCATGCTGAGCTTGTAGCTACAAGCACCCCCAAAGGGTTTGGCAAGTGGTTTTGCCTAGCTTCCCAAAGGAGGCAATCTCTCTCCGTGTCGTTGCTACTGATGCCTTTACAAGACGTCCAGCTTACTTGGGGCTGGACTGAGATGGTGCAGCATAGTTAGCACGCATAGTAGGATGATAGGAATGTCTCGCTTCCTGCCGCTGGCGGGGGCCCAATATGGTCTGCCCTCGCTGAGCAGGCAGGCGCTCTGATTTTCGGATGTTTCCTCGTTTGCAGACGGAGCCAATTCATTTTCCTGGCTTGGTCAGCTGCACGAAGTTTGCTCCCCTCTTCTAAGCGTCCAGCTTTTGAAAGGGCTGGCAGCTTGCTTTTTTGGCTTTCCCGCCAAAGCAAGGTCCTGTTAATGTACCCCCACACCCGGTGCAGGACAACTGGGCCGCAAGCTGGCCGAGTGCCTGTCCAGCCCGGTGCGGCTTTCGCGGCCAAAAGCGGTTCCTAAGTTCCACCGTGCCATGAAGCTTGCACATAGTGGGTCGCGTGCCTTGATGGTGCCAGCGGAGATGACAGCCGTTCATGCGTGAAGCCGCTGAGGCCCCGGAAGTTGTAGCATGCTTCATGAGGTTTCCGGGCATCATGAACGTCTCTTGAAACGGAAAGCTCGACGGCGGCATTGCCGGGAAGGTTAAGGCGCGGCAACTCATGGCATGGGGCAAGCTGAACCATTTTTCAGCCAACATGTCTTAGGCGGTTGTTTGGTCCAAGGCTTGGAGTGGTCAGAAGAGAAACGGATAATCGTCTCATCTCTTGAGGACAGCCTGCAAAAATCTTTTAAGTTTAGCGCAGCTGCTTTTGCGCTGTGCCATGGATGATGAGCTGTTGGCTACATGGGCCCGCCTACTGCCGGAGGAGCCCTTGGACGTCAGATTCATGGGAAGACCTTGAAGCCTAAACCCTATGCCCTTAGGTCGTCTTACGCAGCCTTTCGACACGTTCAACCCTAAATCCCACACCCCTATCCCCTCAACCCCAAACCCTAAACTCTAAACCCCAGGCACTGAAATCCTTGGCAGGAGCGGGGCAAGCTCCTCCGGCTGGAGGACCCCGCACCTGGACGGCACGGCGTAGATCTTTCGGTTGATGGGGTTTCGGGTTGCAAGCGGCTTTTGGGGGTTTGGGGTGTTAGAGGCTTAGGGGTTCATAGAGTCTTGGGCTCTGAGGCTTCGGGAGGTGCTTGCTGCGATAGTGTAGATGTACTCACTTGTTATGCTTGCGCCCGCGACCGACTGAACCGAGTACTGTAGTTTCTCGGTCAGGTTCCGAGCAGGATAGCCCAACTTAGGGTAGTTCTCTCACCCCATGTGTCACCTTGCCAAGTTCCCTGAGCCTTTAAGAAGTGGCCGCACCGTCAGGAATGTGTTCGCCTCATTGCCCGGCTCTCGTTTGCTCGCTGGCTGGGCATCGGTTGGCGTTGCAGATCGTTGTCTGAGATGTGAAGCTTCCCGCGCCTAAGGATGTCGGCATGCGAATGCTATGGACCGCTGAGCTCCAAGCACGGCAGTTCGGCGTGCGCGGGTCAACGGACCCGTTAGACAACGCCCAGCTGCCCCTGCTGGCCACCATGCAATTTGACGGCTTCACGAATCAAGGCAGATTTCACAAGCGGGCTTAAACCTGTTGCAGTTAAGCTAGGCGCTTGGGTGCACAGACTCCTCAGAACTAGCTGGCCTCCCTGGGCACACTCTGGGCCGAAAGAAGGGACGCTTGCCCCACACAAGCTGTTAAAGAAATGCTCTGCAAGGCGAGAAGGTCTTTAAGCTCGTCAAGTGGCCGAAGGACCCCCATGGGTTTGCCTTCAAGAATTAGGGGGAGTGTCTTTTGGGGCATTTGGGGTCTAGCGCCTGCGGTGATGAGCGAGGAGTACAATGAGGACCCCATGGTCCTGGCGAACGCGCTGAGACTGTCATTGCAGGCGGGCGTGGATGCAACGGAACCTGTTTTGCATGGACAGCTGTGCAGGCGGAGGCTCAGGTAAGACCTCTGAATTCAGCCGCGAAGGTAGACAGTGCTTTAATGGCCTGGCCATCTTGTGTCTGTGTTTGACCTTGCAATCGGCTCTGCCAACGTGTAACATGCACGAGCACATGGGGTCAGAACCCTAAAACCCTAAAAGCCTGGAACCCCAAGCACTAAACTCACTAAACTTCACTAAAATCCCCAACCACACCATCAAACGCAAGCCAGACACCCGCTTGGCAGCACCAGGCAGTCTCGGGCAACAAACGGCGCCAGCCGGCGGCCATCAAGCCGAACAGGCCACGACGCCTCGGTTAGGGCTTCATAGGGTTTGGCAATTGATCACGCTGCACGTCGACCGCCTGTCGGTAGGGTCCAAGGTTCAAAAGGGTCAGGAAATCGGTGGGCCTTGAAGGTCAACAGCAGCGCCATGACTTGAAGGAAGCGACGCGAGTAGGAAAGTAGTAGCACTGAAGCAGACATTCTCTCAGCCAAGAGCGACATGTAAGTTCAAGAGCCATTGGATCATGGAGTTGTGCATTCACAACGATTATCGCACCTCACTGCGCCCTTCATAGGTGCTCGAGCTAAGACATCCGTCGCTGAAAATGCAAACTCGATTGCAAAAGAACATGCTGAAACACCGTGCACGTCCGGGGTGCCGGGCGGGCACGTGCTTGAGACTTTTGAGACTCAAGGCCTCACGGCCTTGGCGGACTCGGCCTTCTGTTGTTTTAGAGCTTAGGCTTGGGGGACGTTATATTGAGCAGGCTTGAGAGGAACAGCCTATCTTCTTAGACTATAGTTTCCTGTGGTTCAGACGTGCAACACGAAAGTCTCAGCGCTTGTCTTGCAATACATACGCCAGGTCTTGGAACTCAGAAGCTTGCAGCTAGTGCTTGTTAACATTTGTTCTGCAACACTGGCACGAATCCTAAACTCCGAATCCTTGCTATGCCCCCATGCCATTACTGTCCGCTTGAACCCCCAGACTCCGAGTCCCTAAAGCAGATGATCCGGATGGTCATTCCGCTGCCAGCGCTCGGAGGTGGTGTCAGCTCCTCTCGCCCCCCGCGCAGTCCTGGGCTGGCTTCGAGATTCAGCTCGCGCAGCCGCTGTGCTTACTCGTGGTGCGGCATGTGGGTCATAATGTGAGGGTGGTCAAGCAAGGGGTTTGGTGCGAAGGTCGTGAAGCTCCTTCGGCATTTTGGGATTGAGTCTTTAGGGCGGTTTGGCTGCAAGGCTGAGGAAGCATGGATGGGTCTTAGGGAGCAGGACGTGGCAGATCTTCGTACGCGACATTCTGACTCGCAACGCATGAGCCAAGGGTTGCAGCAAAAGGGCCCGAGGGTCCGAGGGCTTTACAGTGACCAGCCATTCGAGAATTCGATGAGAGTTTGTGCCCGGACCTGCTTTTTGAGGCTTGTGGAGCAGCTTATCCTCCGTGCTCGGGAGGCTCTCCCGCAAGACGTGCAGTTGTCGTAGCACTTTCCGCGTGTTGGGGGAAATCTTGCTCGTGTCTCCCCCTCCCCGCAAGGCAGTCGACAGCTGCATCGTCCTTGTCCGAAGCTCCGCAACCAAACCCGTAAAGCCTTACACGCCCTAGAATCCGTAGAAATACCCTAAACCCCAAACCCTGAACCCCCAGACCCCAAACCCCAAACCCTACGGAACCCTGTAAAACCTAAACCCAGCCGACGAGGCGCCGGAGGCGCCTTCTGCCACCTCCCCGGCCCTGGAGGTTGAGTCGCCGGCACAGGCAAGGAGATGTCTCTCTCGGAGTCCTTTGGGGGTAGGTGCTTTACAGAGTCTTCAGGCTCGTTAAGGCCCTTTATGGTTTGAAGGGTCTTTAAAATACTTTTTTCGTTCAGGTTTTTGGGGTGGTTCTGCTTTTTTTGTTGGGGTTTTGACCTTTGCGGCTTAGAGGGTTGTAGAGGTTCAGGGCTCGAGGGTTTGAGGGTTTGGGCAAAAGGGTTGGGATTCGGGGTTTCGGGGGTGGGTTCACCCTAAGCCCTGAAACCCCGTACGCTCTTGACAAGGAACCCTCTATCTCTAGCTCCTGTTAATGGTTGATCTGGGGCTGAGTCTTGATGTCCAAGAAAGCCCAATGTCATGCTTTCATTCGCTTTACTCATTACATGATAAGTTGGGCTAATTATTCTCTTCACTGTAATTCATTCACTCGCGGGTTCATAGTATTCTTGTAGGACCCGCCAGAAAAAACCCCACAGAGCCTCGAGAGGTCTGGGCATCCTGGGACGCCCAGAAGACGACCTGCGATGCCGTGCCCTGGCAGATGCAGATAAAACCCCAAACCCTATAAACCTGGGATTAGGGTTTTGGGTTCAGGTTTTAGGGTTTAGGGTGTACACCAAACACCCTACTCCCAACGCCCTAAACCCTACATCCTAAACCCTAAATCCTAACGGGCCCATCACTTCAGCAGCAGCCTCACAGCCTCAGGTGTCTGTGGCACAGGCGCAAGAGCCAATCCCGAGGCGCGGAGCTGCCCTTGGTAGCTGCCTATTTCGTGCTGTTGCCTGTCTCCAAAGCCGCAAAGGCTCCTCTTGAACTCGTGTCCGGGGCGATCTCGTGGCTCAAAGGATGCAGGGTTGAGGTCAGGTACTGGGGGTCAGTCGCGAGCTTAACATGGCGTTTGAAGAGCTCGTCGGGACCTGGGAAGATGGGCAAGGGACCGAGTACAGGGTCTCCCGAGATGGGCCGACCCGCTGGACTGTGGAAACTTGCCGCCCAGGTGGCCGACGCCGCGTGACAAAGGGTCTGCTTAAAGTGTGGGAGGGTGCAGTGTACTGGGGGTCATCTTACTACTTGGACGATTGGCCTGACAATGGAGCGAAGCGGCTCACTTGGCAGCCGCTTAAGGAGGGAAAAGCTGCATACCAGTGGCACCCAGTGCACCCAGTAGCCGAGCAGGGCAGCGAGAAACGCTGCTGGCATCCGAAGAACGAAGACACCAAAGGCCGCGAAGGCCGTGCGAAGGCGACGAAAGAAACCGCATGCCAGACGGAAGAAGCAGAAGCAGAGGAAGCAGCGGAAGCTGCGGAAGCTGCGGAAGCAGCGGAAGCAGCGGAGATGATCGTGCGCATCACCGGCAAGTGGAAGGATGAGAATGGCAGCCGCTACGAGGTGGGGTTTCAGCAAAGGAAACTCCGCCCTGTGTACAGTTGAAGCGTCGCGTGGAATAAGCCCGTTTAGACGCCAGGTAAGATAAACAACAACTCACAAAGTCCCGTCTCGGCCTCGTGGCTTCATGATCGAAGTCCTGATATGAGGGTTATACACTTTTGCTGACATGTCATAGCAATCAAGTGTAGTCGTCCGCGATAGATGCCACCAATGACACACAACTTGTGCACTTTTCGCGAAAGTTCTGATATCATGCCCTGTAAGGCTTCATGCTTGCAGCGAAGAACGCCAGTTTTAGCATATAGGAAAATGGACAACCAGCATGTACAAGTACTTTTCATCATATGAAGCCTTAAATTCTTAAACCCCAGGTGGTGCCGGATTCCGGGTCCATGTCGTGCACGGTGGTGACCACACGGCCGACTGGCAGGGTCCTCAAAACGGCTGGGCTCATCAAGTTCGACGCCGACGAGCGGTGTGTGTACTGGGGGAGCAAGTTTCGTCTTGAGCTCACGGACAGCCAGTCCTGTATGTGGGTTCCGATACGGAATGGCAAGCCCTTCTGCTGGCAAGCAGACAGTCCCAGACCCATCGTGATGCCCACGAGCGCCCTGCCAAAAGCCCAGAACCTCGTCGAGGCATCTGCCCAGTTGCAAGACCTACTCGGAATTATGAAGGTCCCAGTGAAGGTTCCTCCGCCACCACCCAGCCGGGGTGCAGCACCGAAGAAGATCTACAACCGCCCACTGAGAAGCTCGACGAAGAGTTCCTGAAGATGGGCCAAAGATGTTGATCCTTGCTCCTGCCATGTGGCGCAGGCAACTATGTGTGCGCTGGGATCGTTGTTAAGTTCCCAAGCTCACAAGCGAAGGAAATTGCGGCTGCTTGCGGGTACTCAGCCGGGTACTCTGCGCAGCTGCCTATGGCAATGTTTCTTCCGCCGCGCGAAGCCCATGGTGTGGTGAAATTTCCTAGAGGTCGCGAGGAGGCGATCTGAGCAGCGATGGCCCAATGTTGGTACGCTGCCATGCCGTAGATGATTCAGTAGATGGTCGAGTACCGCGATGCTTGTCCTGTATCTCGTCGTCATCCTCATAGCGTCTAGGACTGAGGCAAGTACTGGCACCTTTTATGTGTTTGCCTCATATACTCTAGAACGAAGCGCGATCAGGACTCATGCCCGGACGTCTCACCGAGGCTGGCATACGGCTTTCTCAGGTTCCGCTTGCCATGCCTGTGTTCTCAAACACAGCGACCTGAGAAAAAGTCCGCACGGAGTGCGCTGATTTCATATACCTAAGCAGAAGCCCTGACTGCTCTACCCAAGTGCACCGTTTTGAACTTTCCTGTCCTCGCTATGTCCTGGAGGCCAGAGGAGGCAGAGCCGGACGAGGCAGAGAAGGATGAGCCTGCATCTTAAACCCGGGATCCCGGTGCCGTAAGCGGACGAATGGTTGAGGGACTGACAAAGAGCATGGTCTTCAGAACTGGAAAAATGAGCGTGTTAGGCATTGGACTCTCAGTGATGCCCTGGCGCCCTGACTGAGCAGCAGCCAACCCTTCCAACCTGCGTCCCAGGCAGAGCCAGTCCAATGGCGCGCGTGCCGCAAAGCGGGCGCGCCAGCGTGAACGGAGGAAGCTGGGCAAGGCAGGGTCCTGAAGCTCAGGGATGTTTGGGCTTCAAGGGAGAGCTCGTGGGGGGCGTTAGGGAGCCGCATCCCTTATGAAGCATTCCGAGGTGTGTCTTTTTATTGAAGTTGTTAGATCTCGTTCTGCTCGCCGCTGGGCTTGGCTCAGAGGCTGGTGCTACTAAGTCCATGCAGCCGCGAAAGCCTCTTACAGTGCGGGTGCACTCGGCCATCTGTACACCGTACAATGAACTCATCAGCTCCTGCCCACTCTTGCCCCCTCGTCGTGCTTCCATCTGACTTTCTTGATCTGTTTTGCTTTGGGGGCTTGTCGCGATGGCTGCATGCCGGTGCCGATCTCAGCGAAGCAAAGAATCGCATCATCGCAACATCGCAGAGCGCTCTCACTGTCGCGTTTTGTTAGCGAAAATCCTATCTGCCTTGAAAGCGAGGCCCGAGGCTGCTGGCTGGCCGCTCTTGCGGCGAGTGCCGGGGTTGCCGGGGATGCGGGGGCCCCGTGTGCGTGAGAGTCTGAGAGCTTGCTCGACAACATCCGAAACATCTGGAACCGAACATCCTGAACCTGACACGCCAAAGCCCTAGTCCATCCCGGGTGTCGAGGACGTCGAGGTTTCAGAGGTTCTCGACAAGGCCGGGGGCTTGAAGCGGTGGTTGAGGTTTCGACCGAAAGTTGATGTCAAGGTGGTGCAAGTTCGCGTAACTTACCGAGCCCTCATCATCTTTGTAACTTTATGGCAGTTGGGCAAACTCTTTCCGAAGCCTAGATATACTGTAGTATTTCGCCTCAACCACCAATTTCAGAGCAGTTTGCACACTTTAAGCAGGTTGCGCAGCAGCCGCGGGCCCTGGCCGCCGTTCGGCAAGCAGCAAGACGACATAGCACAGAGCCAGGGCAGGAGGCCGTCGACATGTGCAGTTTCTGCTCCAAAGCAAGGGGCGCCATAGCCACGAACCACACTCGACAGTGACTTGTTCGGAGAGATCGGAACTTCACACCGTTTCGCATCCCTCGTTGCATGAGCCCACCCCCCCCCCCCCGGCAAGAGACTCGTATGAAACTGTACGCTCCCTGCAGTGTGGCCTCTTGCGGGTGGGTGCGCCGAACTTCCGTACCTGGAAGGAGGCCCATGAGAAAGCAATGCTGTCGCTGGTTAGGTTTCAAGTTCTGGCCAGGACTGGGCAGAGGGCATGTGTCTTTTGTGTAGACTTTGGAATGTGAAGCGAGACACCCTTCATGGTTGCATGGGTTCACGACGTCGTGATAGACCAATGGGGTTATTTGCTGCTTGGCTGGATACTTGCTGCCTTGTTGCTTTCTACTTCATGTTCTGCATGTGTTTTGCACACACTGCCTCAGTCTAATCAACTCTGTGTACGCTGATGTGCATGGCGAATCGTTTGTGTCATTGTGCATCTTACATGTGGCCTCTGCATCGTCCCGTATTCAGCGCACACGCGAGCCTGACTAGCTCTGAAGCAGTCGGAGCCCCAGCCGGGGGTCACCCCAGAAAAGCTTGGGCACACTGGCATGCAGGCAGCCGCATCCTTGCAGCGTTTCGGAGAGCCCGTGATCATCACCCACCTCCTCTCCGGCCGGGAGTTGAGAGGGTACCGGAAGACCTGTTGCCACGAGCACTGCCGCAGTGACGGAAGTTGTTCTTGGTAGATGAGTTACGACTCTGTAACACTACTACAGTACCGTTGCTGCTAGCCTTACCAGCCTGTGCGTTTGGGGTGACAGGTAGATTTTCGGCTAGCGGTGTGCCGTTTGCTGCCAGCATGCCGGACTTCATCAATGTCCGACCTGCCCAGAACCACCTTTCTGGTCATGCCGTGTAGTTGGCTGCCAAGGCCTACAAGCCCTGGATTTGAATGCTCACGGCAAGGAGGCGTCCCGGGCTATGCTCCCCGTCTTGACTCTGTGGCATGCTGTAGAATTACGACACACGTGTTGCGGCTTTCGGGCCAAAGCTGTTTTCATGTTGACGCCGCCTCTCTGACAAGTTTGAGCTGCCACTTAGCATGTAGGCCGAGAGTAGGGTAGGGCTGTTCGGCTTTTCTCTGTTTGTGCTGCCTCCGATATCGCGGGGTTGGGGCTTGGGGAGAAGACGGTGTTTAGATCAACGTTCGTCATGCCGGTTTGCAACTTGGCTGCTCTCGGTAATTCGTCCCGGCTGTTACTTCGCCACTTCAGGCAGCACACGCTTAGGCTCTGTTCTTTCTGGAGTGTGGGCAGGAGACGGGGAAGCCATTTCAACTCCTCAACAAGAAGTAGAAATGGCAAAACGGAGTCAGGCATCATGTATTCACGACGACCTGCCACGGGAGCCTGTTTTTGAGGCTCAGAAACGCCGTAACCCGTCGAAGCGGCCTGCAGCAGCTTTTGCCAAGCCAACTGCTCTTTGCTGTCGTTGGTCTCAACCTACCCTCATTGCCGCTGTCTTGTTTGCCAGTCCACGTTGCTGGTCGCAACCCTTGGATACTCCTTTGGCCTTGGGGAGGTCTATCCCATCAACAATGGTCGATTTGGGCCCGGCAAGGCAGGCCTGCGAACGATACCTTACTGTAGCAATTTGGTCAGAAGCTTCAGAGAGAAGATGAGCAAAAGCAATTGTAGCTTTCTGTCTGCTTATACTAGCAATGCAAGCCGAATAGCTGTTTGCTGGTGTGTGTGCAGGCTCAACACAGCATCCCGCTGGCACGCAGGGGCCCCAAGAGTTGAAATCTGAGTTGCCCCGATTTGCGCCGGGCTCCTGTTGCTACCACCAGCCTTGGTGGGCTCAACTAGGCCAAGCGTGTTCGAGCAAGATGCAAGGGTTGATCCTTCCTCCCACGCTGTTTAGGGCTCTAGGCATGACCTGGCCGCTGAGAAGTCCATCGCCGCTAAAAAGCATTCTTCCCATAGATTTCTTTGGCAAGCAGGCAGCAAGCCCGAAAGCTACACTTTCTGAGGTTACTTGCAGCGGAATGCTTCAAGCTTCCACATCTTTGCCATCAACAGGACCCTTGCCAATGATGTGTCGTCAGGCTTGAACTGTCCCAATAGGAGTGATTCCTGATGAGTGCGATCCGTAATTGCTTTGAGTTCCACTTCAGTCCCCCTGAACACAATGCGATGCACTGGTACCTTCAGATTCCTGTGTCGGACGGGCTAGAATTGGAGTGCAGAGCCCTAAACTCGTAGTGAACCCAACATAACATAGTTCTGCAGCAGCGATGCAGGCCGCAGTACGGTCTGCATGTGGAGCCGCAGCTGCTTGACGAGGCCCTGGGGCTTCTAACCTTCTTGGGCCCAGCTGGCTGTGCCCAGCATGATGTCCTCATGGCCCTGCTGCTCCTCGGCTCCTGATTCCGCTGCCTCTGTTAAAAGCAAGTTGAGGTATAACCTTGAAGCGATGCGTTATGATGCGTTGCAGGCCCGCGCCCGCGCTGCGGCAGCCGTGGGTGAGGGGCTGGCCGATCTTGCTGCGCGGTGGATACTCTCACTGGGAACCCAGGCGGCTGGGTGCGAGGGTTTCCTTTGTGCGGTAGGCTGAGGCCTCCATGAACACCTTCGAATCTTTTGCAGGCTTCCCAAACTATACAATGTCTGTGCAGAGTGACACGCACTTTTAGATCCCGGGAGCCTTGTCTGACGTATGACCTGTTCAGTTCTAAGCCGCCGCAAACATCGCAAAATTTGTGAGGCTTCCAGTGTGAACCGGCACTCGCATGAAGCCGCCGCCTGAGCGCGAAAGCAGCTGCTTGAGTGACTCAGCGACAACAGGCAGTTTGAGCTCGGGCAACCCAAATTCATCCCCAGTCAATGAAGCCCTTGCTCAAACCTGCTCACGCCCTTGGTTCAACCAAACTTTGCTCCTCTGATGATTGAAGCCTTCTCCCAGCCCTCAGCCCAAAAACCCTGACCCGTGCAGGAGTCCTGGCTGCTCCTCTTCCAGGGTCGGTGCGGCCCCGAGTTCGAGTTTTGTTTTGGTTCTGGGGCCACGAGCCTTGTAGTGAGGTTTATGAGGGCTTAGAATACTCTTAGAAAAGCCCGGGGGGGGGGGGGGAGGCTCAACCTTGAGCCCTTACCTCCACATAGGGGTTCTCGATTCGTGTCCCCTGACGTCTACAATGAAAACCCCCTGTAGTCGCTTGTAAATACAAGGCCGTATCCCTAAACCCATCCTAAACCCAAACCCTAAACCCTAAACCCTAAACCCTAAGCCCTTGCAACAAAGGCCCAATCCCTAGAACTGCGTCCTTTGAGGAAAGCCTGGTGGATCGGCGCGGCCGGCGCCCCAACATAGGTGCCGGTGCTGTGACGGTGGAGCTCCCGCCCCAAAGTCTCGACCAGGATCTGCAGGGGGTTAGCTCTGTCCCTTTTTGGGATCCCCTTTTTCAAGGGTGTCGCCTTCTGATGGATACCCAAAAAGGGGCCAACATTTGGGAAGCTACCCAGGATTTAGGGGGCCCTCTAGGGGGTTTAGGCGGTTTAGGGTTCAAGGGACCTCGGATCCCTCTCTGCTAAAACAACCGCTGTTTCACCTCCCCTCCGAGGGTGCAGCTGGCTTCCGCGGCTGGGAGGCCTGGGACCAAGGAAAGAAATGCCCAGTTACACCGAGAAGGTTCATGGGTAGCTGTAAGTAGGGCCGTGAGTCAGGTAGCCTTTCTTGCAACCTTAATGAAGAAACTTCTAACCCTACTTATGACTACCCACGAGCCTTCAAGCAACCGAGTTGCCTTTGAAGCGCAGGTCCAGAGAGCCCTCAACCAGACAGCAACCGGAAGCTCCCCAAACCCCCAAAGCAGCCCGGCGCACGAGGACCCATGCGGTGCACTGGGTACGCCTCCTCCTCCTGGGGTGCAGTTCTGCGTGCCTCGGTCTGCGGAACTTGAACCCTAAACCCTAAACCTCACTTGGATGCAGGTCTCAGTTCCGGGGTTTACTTGGGATTGAGGAAAGCTGAAGGCTGATTTCACGTAAAGCTCAAACCCTATCATGCCTTTGGCCGGAAACCCCCCAAACCCCAACATAACCCCCAACCCGAACCTTCCACTCCCCGGCTTTGAGGTTCAGCGCCCCGGTGAGGCGCGGCTTCCGTCGTTCTTTGGGGGGCTTGTGGGCAGCTTGTGTGTGGGGGGGTGGGGGGGGGGGGGTGTTCTTGAGGTCAGGATGTGCAGCTGGTGTGGGGTGGGGGGTGCGCGGCAGCTAAGGCGTGTTATCTGTCGGGTCCCCTACAGCCTGAAAACGGCTTTTGCCATTCCAGCTTCGACGTCGGCAGACCGAATCATTCCCGGAAGGCAACAGATACTGAGTTCTCTAAGTTCTGGTGCCCTCAAGAGGATCCATAGTTGAGGGGACCTACTGTTGCAGACCATGTCCGAAGAGACCCAGATCTGAGTCTTGTTTGCTGCCTCCGACTCGACAGCTACGTCGGCCAGGATTTACTACAGTTCACCATTGTGTACTTTACAGGAAGCATGCCAATGTTTTCCATGAAGTCGCCATCCAAATATCATGGAAACATTGGGAGCGCAATGGTTTTACAAAGGTCCATGACTGCTGGAACTCATGGAGGACAAGGTTTCCCGTGAATACTTTGTGGAAAACATTAGTTTTGCCAGTATTGATGGTTTCCAACGTTCAATCAACCTTCCCATGGTTTCAGAGAGATCTCAAGGCCTTGAGCTCCCATAAAGCCTCTCAAAACGCGTATAGCTGACCTGCAAGTATGTGAATTACACATGCTAAGTCCTGGGCCTTTTCAGTTAAAGGCAGTCTTGACATGTATTTGACCGGCAGAGTGACAATATCATTAAAAGGGGAAAGTTGACCTCCAATGTTGACATATATTTGGCCAGCAGAGTGACAATATCATCAAAAGGGGAAAAGTTGACCTCCAATCCTGTCAGCATGAGTTCACTTGTTCAAAAATCTCTTGGCAGAACGAACACATGATTCGTGAACACGTGTATTACTCTAGAAGCTGTATTGCTTAAGTTAATGAACCTTTTCAGTGGACGTGATATGATGTAACCCTATTTGTTTGATTCATCATGAGTTAGTGCATTCATGCGTAAAAGCTGACCTCCAATGATGTTAACCAAATGAACTACACCATTGCCTTCAACTTGGGGAGATTGGGGGGCTATTTCCAGGAAGAGTGCGATTCGCATGAAACGGATCAAGATGGTTCTCAAGTTAGAGGTCAGATTGACCATGTCACCAACAGGAGACAAGTTGATCCCAAATTATGTTAAACAAATGCGGCGATTTGTTTCAATTGTTAAGTTGGGGGAACGAACACAAACAAGGGTATTGTTCTAATTGCTCCATTGCTTTAGTCCCTGGCTCACTATAAAGCGTACGACCGAATTTCGACTGCTGAAATGTCGAAGCGCAATGTCGTGTGAACCAGTGCCATGTGGTGGATGTTTAATAGGAAGGGTACCCATATGCCTTAGTATCACAAGGAGCCTGCACCGCATGTCCCACTCTCCATTGCCAGGTCGTGTATATAGGGACGCACGTGGACCACGCCACCTGCAACATGGACCCGCTCGTCCTTGGAGCTGGGTGGCCTGGTTCGGGCAGGCGTCACACGACTTCAGCTTGGGGCTTACGAAATTCGGGTACCTTATTGGGGGTCGTTACTATAAGGGGATCCTGCGATTAGGGGGTTTATATTGAGGGTCCCGCATCTTCGTCAAACCTCCAGTTAAAGTTCATGTTGGGCAGCTTGCAGCAGGCCGACAAGAGATTGCCCGCACTGGTACTCAGACGCACTTGAGAACCCAAGTTCATGAACAATATGGGGCGCAAGTTGACTTGCAAAACACAAAGCCTGGGCGCGCATATGCGCACGGCATTACAGGACCATGTGGTGCAAGAATTGGAATGGGGTTCGAGTCCTGCTCTGTTTTATCCAACTCAAAAATTGGTCCGGGACCCTGTGAATAGTACAAGACCCACCAGTACTGGTATCGCGCAAGTAGATTCAGATGGGAGCCTGCTATGAGGTTGGCGGCCAGGGCAGTCGAGCTGTGTGGGCCTCTGTGTTAACCGTCGTAGAAGTATCGGTCAGGCAGGGTGTCTTACAGGCACAGAGCGCAAACCAAATAATGGGGTTTGTAAGAAGTGTCACAGTTGCCAAGTTGCGGGATGTTGTAGTAGGGAACGATCGCAGTTGTGTGCGGGTGCCATTTGCTAGCAAACTTTCGCCCGCAGAGCTAGTCAGGACTGGCCCGCGTCCGTGAAAGCTGCGCAGGAAGGCGACAATCAGGCCGGGTGGGTTGTACTCACCAATCACAGACCACACATACGAAGCCTTCACCAGCCATCGCCTTACATCCTATGCCCAACGCCCTACACACCCTGAGCCCTCAACCCCGCCGAACGAAACCATCATCGAAAAACCAGAACAGGCTCTGCAAAGGCTGCCTGCCCACGACCTCCGGGCGGCGCTGCACGCGCGCACGCCGCCGCTTGGGCTTCTCCTTGTAGTTGTGGCCCAATATCAGAAGATCCACCCTGGCTCCAACAGCTAAAAGCCTAAGAGCTTCAAGCCCACTAGGCCCCAAGCACTGAATGCCGAGGCGGGGGCAGTCGGCTCTGCACGTGGCTGCCGCCTTTGGTCGCGGCAGCTTTGTCAAAGCGCTGCTGGCGTGGGCCCTTTGGGGGTTTGGAGCTTTAGAGGCAGTTATGAGAACCAAAGCGGGTTGGGTTCCAATTCTTTGCCGCCAAGGCTCGGCGAGCAAACCCCAAGCAGAGAGACACGGCAGGCGGGGGCTGTATGGAAGTTATCCTCCTTAGCTCTGGACGTGGTCGTGGGATGATGGCAGAGACCCTGAACCTTTTGAGAAGTCGCGGTCGCAGTTGTAGTCATTGTAGTCGCAGTCGCAGCTTGAAGGTCTGACCGCGCTGCATGCTGCCTCGGACGCCGGCCAAGCCGACACGGCCCAGCTGCTCCTGGACGCACGAGCCTGGGACCTCAGGTGTTTGCTGTTTTGGCCTCGCTTCTGGGAGCCGAAGCCCTATGTGCCTGAAATCCCCAAAGCCCTAGGCCCCAAACCGCTCAAACCCCCCAAAACGATAAACCTGTCGACTCTGCAAGGCTGATGCCCTTGCGCGAGACCGTCAGGGCAAGCAGCGAAGCCGACAAGTTTGGACCGGCTTTGGTGCGAAAGAGGCTAGCGCTAAGCTGAACTTTACTGCTGCTCCTACTGCTACTGCTGCTGCTGCGACGACGACGATGATGACGGTTCATGTCATCATCTTCAATGTGACCCTTTGTACAGCCATTGTTTTTTCTCAACTTATTCCCCCCCAAAAAGAAAACAACAAAACAATCTGAACTTGCTGTTCTCAGCAGCCGTGCGTTGGCTGGCCAGGCCGCTACACAAGGCGGCAGCTTCGGGCCACGCAGCGGCTCCGGCAGCAGACGCGGGTTTTTGTTTAGACAAGGGTGGGGATATGAAGCTTAGGGTTTGGGGTAGTTACTTCCATCTCTTCATCTTCCGGCAACAAAGGGCCAAAGTGAAGGGATCTCTGAGAACTCCGACGTATGCGGGCAGCTCTCGAAAGTAAAGCCCTGCAACCCCCATTCCCCAAGAAACCCTAAAGCCCCAAAAGCTACAAAATTTTGAAGCCCCAAGACAGGGCCTAAACCCCTAACCCTACCTGTCACGAGTGCATGGCAACTAGGCCCTTGTCTCCCTGCTTCTGCGCCACGGCAACGCCACGGCGCCCTCCAAGACACAGGAAAGGTTTAGGGGTTTAGGAGTTAGGGTTTACGGTTTAGGGCTTAGGGCCCTTCCCCGAGCGTTTCTGCATGCTGCAGGAGCAGGCTTTGCACCTGGCGGCAGGACACTGCAGGCTCCAAAGCATCCCAGGGTGCAGCATGGAGAGCCATAGGTATCTCGGACGTCCTGAATCAACAATCTTTAACTTCCCGTTGAAGTAAGTACATGTCGGTGAATCTTGCCATCCCTCAGAAACACTCGGGGACCTGACCTGTCGGAGAGTCAGTGGCTTCGTGGGCAAGCAGCACCCGACCAACCCCTGCTGGAGGCTCGTCCGGCTCTTACTTGCCGCCCGCGCAGATCCGTCCAACGGAGACCGGGAGGGCGTGCAGCCCCTGCACTGGGCCTGGGGCCGAGCTGGACAGTGTTCCCAGCAGAGCCCATTTCCGCAACGCCGGCAAGCCAAAGCCAAGCCCAACAGAAGGTCAGGCAGCTTCGGATCGAATGATCTACTCCTCACGTCCCGACCCAGCGATGCGTTTTGGGGCCGCTTGCATCTCCGTTTGAATTTAGACACCTATGTCATCGACTACATCTACTAAAGCAGAAGGTTCTGCGAGCATGATCACAGTTGATGGGCGAGCATGATCACAGTTGATGGGCTACCGAGTACCTGCGCCAAGCACTTCTGAGCTAGACAATGTCCAAATACAATGCAGCCACAGCTCTCCGCAACCGAAAGCCAGACTCTTGGGAAGCAAACCTTTCTTGCAGTATTCTCATCAGATAGGGCAAAACCTGCTTTCCTTCACGAGAACGGGACCCACCCGGCCACCTTCTTCCCAAAGCCCAATCTCCTCTAGCACAAGTATCCTGAGAATGTGACTCCAAACCAGCCCGAAACCCTACACCCCACAGCATCCCATAGCTCCCCTAAGCCCACACTTCCTAAATCCCTGAAGCCCCGAACCCAACTCGGCTCGTCCGAACGCCAGAGGCTGCTGCCTCTGGGAGCCACTGTTCCATCCACCAGCTCTTGAACGCGCGGGCGGGGTCCCCTTCATGTTCATGTTCGCACTATCATGACCAGTATCGTTAGTCATACTTCTTAGTATTTAATTCTTGTTGTTTGCTGTAGTTGTTGTTGTGGTTACTACTCGTGCAAATGTTACAGTAGAATCATGACCGCTGCTACTCTGATTGCAATCATTCATTGATCAGTATCTGCTTGTTGAAGGGTTTACGGGGGCAAAGGCCTTGGGCTTTTGAGATTTTAAGATTCAGTTAGGATAGCATGATTCCAGCGTTCCAGATTCGCCTAAACTCAAAATCGAGCCAAATACCTTGCAGGCACATACGAATGCCTTAAACCCTGACGTCTGCATCCGTGACGGACCCGAAAGAGACCGAGTAGGAGTCTAGGTGTTTGGCTGTTTGAGGCATCCCTGAAATCAGCAGATGCGGTTCATGGCGGCTCCTACCTCAGTTACCCCTAGCTGCCAGCAACCGACATGGTTGCTACCTACCTGCCGCATCATGAGTGCAGCTTCAGTTGGTCTGCAGATGTCAGATGGCCTTCTGGCAGCTGTTTTCAATTAAGTTCCAGGACTCCACCATAAATCCTGGCCGGCCCGGCATGGATCGGAACATTAGTCAAGTTTCCAAGACACGAACATCGAACTTCGGTAGAAACAGATTCTCAACCTAGTTGACGTTCTTGCACACGCAGCTGCGGGACAGCCGCCTCACCAGACATCAGAAGCCTACACATGCGTAGTCGCTCGTAGCGTCGCCTCCCACTTGAAGATCATGGACGGCGACACGGAGGGGACCCTACTGCCCGAGCAGTGTGCAGGCCTGTCATGGCTTGTCGGAAGAACCTATCTTAGGCCTTGGGCCTGTTACATGCACATATCTCAAATTAGCGAGCGGGAGGACTGCGTCACTGCCAGCAAACCCTCATTCCGCCTGCATAAAGTGTATGTAGACGCTTCAAGCTTGTCCTCCAGATTGTTCAGGTGCTGCCGCCGCAGTTGATGTGACGCTGCTGCCGCAGGCTGTCCACCCGGCTCCGACTGCGGCCCCTGCTTCGGTCCCTGCTGCAGCCCCTGCTTCGGCTGCTGCTGCAGACCCTGTAGCCCCTGCTTCGGCTGCAGACCCTGCTGCGGCTGCAGATCCTGCTGCGGAACCCGCCGCCCCAGCTCCGGCTGCCGCCCAGGCAGCAGCAGCGGTGGGGGCAGGGTCGGACTCGGAGATCTCCTGGAACTTGACGCAGTCGGATCCGCCCCCCGGAGCAGATGCCACCTTCTGGCCGCAGCACCAGAGGATGGAACAAAGGAGCCGTCAGGATCAGCAGGACGCACAGGAGGCAAAGAAGGACTTGGGGAATCTGGCAAATGTGGTGAAGGAACCGAGCCCAGAGGCCGATGCCTGGGCGGCAGGGCTTCGTGGTGGGTCGGAGGACAACTACAATGTCTGCGAGGACCCCTTGGTGTTCGGAAAGCCGAAGCAGCGCGCGGCACCCCGTAAGGAGCTGAAAGGCCCGGACATTGTCCTCGTGCAGCGCCCGGACCTGCAGGCCGACGTGAACTCCTGGGAAGCCGGCCTTCGTGGGGGCGACGAAGAGAAGATGGACGCGATGGTGTTCTCCAATCCCCACTTTCGTAAAGGCAAAGAAGGCAAAGATGCCAAGGAAGCGAAAGCAGAGGCCCGTCCCCCACGAAGCCCCAGCAAGCCGAAGGCCTTGCGGAGTCCCATGGACTCGCCGTCGCGGCCCCGGAGCCCAGCCCTGCCAGTACCCAAGCCAAAGGCCCAGCGCTCACCGCAGCCGTCAGCAAGGCATTTTGGGGCAAATTCCGCATAGGCGATCATAAGAGCTTCCGGTTCTGTTAGGTTGCGGTGATTCTTACCACCGTGCAGCAGTATAGGAGAGAGTCACGAGTCACAGCACCGAATGGCACTTCACCATACTTCACCAATCGAGCGATGATGCGTGTTCCAGTCTCGTGTGTTTCTTTCTCCTTCTTTACACTTGCACGGCAGGTCAGTGGACCGAGATGGCGCGCCACCGGCGCAGATGCGACGAAGCCAGTCTCAGCCACCTGATTCCACGGCCAAGCCGACGCCCGAAGTTCTGCGGCATCGATTGTCGGCCGCTGGAGATCGTCCAACGCGAAGTCCGTGCCAACTGCCACACATCGAGCCCAATGATCAGACACGAGCGAGGGCGGTGTCGAAACCGCCGTCCGAGGTCGTGTCATCACCGCCCCCGCCCAAGCCCAGCCGTGCGCAGTCCGTAAGCGCAGCTCGGAGGGGCGTCTCGAAAGAAGAGGGCGGACGCCAAATGTTTGATAAGAACGAGCTGCGATCCATGCACAAGTCTATGTTCGAGGCAGCGATTGCCAAACGACGGTCAGAGCTGCTATCCAAAGCTGATGCAGCAGAGCATGAGTCGGATCTGGAAGCCACACGTGCTGTAGTACAAGTCTACATGCGCAAGCGGCCAATTTCTGAAAAGGAGTCACAGGTCCGCGGAGACTACGACGCAGTGACGGTGGTGCCCCGCAAGCCGGTTTCGAAGGAAGTGGTGCTGCACAATTGTCAGTTTCAGGCAGACTTGAAGACCCCTTTCATTACCCACGCGCATTTTGGCTTCGACTGTGTCTTTCCAGAAGAGGCTTCCAACGAAGAGGTCTACGCTCAGACGGCTGAGCCTCTGGTACAGATTGCACTGAACGGTGGCATTGCCACAATGTTCATGTTTGGTCAGACGGGGAGCGGGAAAACCTTCACCATGACCGCCATCGAAGAGTTTGCGGCGAGGGACATATTTGCCGCAACGGGAGAGGCCGCAGCCGCTGCCGACGACTTCATGTCTCTGCAGTTCTACGAGCTGCGCGGGAACCGATGCTTCGATTTGCTTACTCCTGCCGCTGCTGCTCGAGACACACGAGCGGCAGCGCGACGGGGAAGCCAGGCTCCCGAGCTGCGGCTTCGGGAGATGAAGGATGGCACGTACGTGGCGGATGGGGCCCTCGTCATGGGCCCCACGTCCCCAGAGGACCTCTGCACCTGGATGCGGCGGGCCCACGCATGCCGCGCGACTTCTGCGACGGAGGCCAATGACGTGAGCTCGCGAAGCCATGCCGTTTGCATGCTTCGCTTTGCACAAACTGGTGGCCAGCTGTTGCTGATCGACTGTGCTGGGACGGAGCGGAGGTTTCTCGGAATTGAACATCGTTCATGCCTGCCCCGCCCCCCCCCCCCCAGAGGAAGCCCAAGTTAGATGGATTCAGCCACTTCGTTCAGCCACAGCCCGCAAGCCGCAAGCCGAGGAAGGATGCCATGTACCACTCCAAGGAGAGACAGCAGGAAGGGGCGCCTCGACGGCTGAAATTGGCTAAGGGATGTAGTAATGATATGTAATTCTGTAAGAAAACATAATACTCGTATGCGTCACCAACGTGTATTTTGGGATCTCTGGAGTCTTCAAATTGCTGCCACCTTCGGGATCGGTTGTAGCACCAAGGCCGAAATCAACGCCTCGCTGCACGCCCTCAAGGCCCACAGCAAGAGCGCCCTGAACCTTCCTTTGGCCTGCAGGGCACCTCCCTTATCGCCCCCTCCTAAACACCGGACAGGAGTGCATCCGCTACTTCACCTCACAGGGCACTGTGCCCTCTCACATCTTTCGTGCGTCCTCGCTTACCAAGTGCCCGGGCGGATGACGTTTTGGGGGTGTTGTTGGCCGAAGGGCTGGGGGTCTGGGGAGGGCTGGGGTTGAGGTGTGAGGAGAGCACAATCGACTGAAACCCTGAGCCGTAAGTGATAAGGCCCTGAACCCTAAGGCCCCAGACCCTAAGCTTAAACCAAACCCTAAACATAACCCAAACACCAAAACTTTCCATCGACCTCCCGTGGCCAAGGATCCTAGCCGAGTCCTTCCTGAGGACACGTGCTGCTCGCCTGGCGGCCTCTTGATTCCGAAGATTCCCGAAGCCTGCTTGGGGTTTTCTGGTTCAGGGCTGTGGGGGTGGCAAGGTTGAGGGCTTCAATGGCTTCATGGGTTCCAAGGGTTTAATCAAGAAGTGCACCATCGAATCGACTTCAAGCGAGTCAAAACTGCAAATCGCCGTTTCTCCATGTTGCCCCTGTGCCTGGCGTTCGGGCTTTTTTGATAAACAAAAGTTCAGGAGGCGTAGGCATGGAAGCGAAGTCGAGCCTTAGAGTTCAGGGTTTTGGATGGGCCGAGGTCGTTTGCACGGCGTCGCCTTGCGCGTCGGACACGGAGCACACGCTGTCCACGCTGCGAACGGGTGTGCCAAAGAAGCAAGAAGGCAGAGTGAGGATGGAGCAAGGTCCTGAAAAATCGAGTAGGATGCTGGAGTTGGTCGTGCTGGTAGGCGGAATAGGGGCGATCCATGGCGCTCCAACTGCCGTCGCGTTTCTTGAAAAGCTCTTGTACGCCAAGTAATATTGAGAGATATTGAGGGGATAACCATGCGGATGGCTGATGCAGTCGGTGATTTCTTTTGGGAGCGCAAGGTCTCACTTTGCACTGGCGGCTCCGAGCGGGAAGACCGTGAGCTGATCCTCGAAGGTTGCTTGGCGCCTTGTTGAGGCTACAGGTGTCGTTGCAAGCTCGATGATGACGGAGAATCCTCGGAAAGATCCTAAGTCGAAGCTTTTCGAGCTTGGTACGCTGCCCGTGGTCAGGCATTGAGCGGCGGCAGCGTGTGCCTCACCCGAAGTCGTGGGATCCCGAGGCCGCGGATTGCCGTGAGGTTTATCCGTCACACCCCGAGATGGCATCTTCTGATATGGGGCTTTACGATATGAGGGGTACCTTATTGGGGTTCTTTTTGTAAGGGGATCCCATTATTTGGGAGTTATACTAGGGTCCCTTATTATCGTAAAGACCTCACATCTTCAGACTCCCACTTTGCTGCAAGGCTGTTCGGGCTTGGCTCGGGTCTGTCGCAGAGGGAGCCTTCCAAGACGTCCTGGACCGCCAGGGATGCAAGGGATTGGTATAGTTTAGTATAGGCTGGTACATGACGGTGTGCAAGTTATTATTATTATTATTATTATGAGAATTGGCTTGGGAGATTTGTGAGGGTTTAGGGTGCTGGTAGGATCGGTGGGGCTCTCGATCCGATTCCCGCAGACCAAGTGTTGCAAGTTCGCTGTGAAAACTGTTCGCAGGACCAGCTGCCCACCAATTTCACTGGGCAGATGTTGGTAGCCGGCCCAAGTACTTGCAGACCATGGGATGGAGTGTCAGGGACGCTGTCGAGCCGTTACGCCTAGGTATCTAGGTGCGTCAGGGGCATCATTTTTGAGGGGACCGGTCTGTGGATCCCATCCAAAGCTTTCAAGCAGCCTTTACGGCAGAAAGGGTCAGGGGTTCCTTCCATTCGAAGCCCCGATCCCTGCACCTCCAACACAGCTGAAGCCCTCTCTGCTTCCCCGTGAGGTCCGGGTGACGGAGGCACGCTGCTCACAGCTCTGCGGCGGAAACGCGCATCGAGGCAGATTGAAGCGTGGAGCTGTCCGCAAGCGCCCCTTAAACAAAAACCCACAGCCCGGAACCCAAGAATCTGGACGCCCGAGTGCTCTAGACTTCAAGCTTGAAACCCTAGAACATCCCAAGACTCTGTCGCCCCAGAGCCTCAGGCAAAGAGCTCTTTGACCTGCTCCATGCTGAGATGCGCCGGGCCGGGTGAGCCCCAAAGCAGCCGAAGGAGCTCATGTTAAAACCTGATTCACAACCAAAAATGTTTTTGAATCATTGGTTAAGGGCCAGGGCTTCAAGGGATCTAAGGCTGGCTAATGCCAGGGTTTGCGGGGTTGAGGATTGTTGGGGGTGGCTCTTGGGTTTGCTTTGCTTGGGGTCCGACTGCGCCAATACCTTCAGCTCATAGGGCCTCAGGGGGCTTTTAGAGTCCTGGAGCTTTGCCGTTCTACACCCAACAAAGGGTGGAACGGGCATCCGGGAACCCCATGAGCCCCTTGCGAACGCCAAGCCCGTACAGCCTGAGGCAGTCCAGCTCAGGCATCGACGCCCAAAGTCGGCAGACAGGCCCCAAGCTGCAAAGCGCATCAAAAAAGTGGCGGGCGGCTGAAGAATCTACCGCGGGGGTGGGATGGGCCCCAAACCCCAAATTATCCTTCGATGTCCTCAAAACCTTTGGTGCTAGGGCAAGCCTTAAGGCCCGGGTATTGAGCAATGTAGTCTGGGACAACCTGCCGAGGTCAAGCCGTGCACTGGGCGGCGGCGAATGGCCACCGTCAGCTTCTGCCGGGCGCCACAGAAACTCGGGCCCAAGACATTGAACCGGAGCATACCTGAGCCTTTTGGTGCTGTTGCCCGGAACCCTAAAAGCCTTTAAGCCCTTGTAGCCCGTCATGTGGGCTAAACCTCACAAGACCCTTTGCAGAACCCTGGTGGTTCGCTCAGGGCGCAGCTCCTCGAGCTTCGTGCGACGCCTTGGGACCGCGATGCCCAGGGGAGCGGGCACGCAACCCAGGATCATCTTTGAGGGATTCCGACGGGGGGGTCAGGGTTCAGAGCTTGAGCTCACCCAGTTCCTGGTCATTTGAGAATCTCCGCCAAGATTGCCCCAGGTCCTGACCAGCTGATATACCCCTAACTGCAATATTCCTTGTTTCAAGGAACACCCACCCCCAAGAAGGTTACTTTCTATCATTCGAAACCCCCCAAAAGCCTAGAAGAAAAGCCGGAAACCCAATCTCTTTACTAGATCCAGGGTTCGGGGTTTAGGATCGGAAGACAAACGGCTGCAGACCCAGGCCGTTTCACTGGGCTGCGGCCAATGGGCAGGCAGAGGCAGCTTGGTTGCGGAAGTAGTTTGCCACCAAGAAACTCAAAGCTCCCCGACACCAAAGAGCTTTCAACGCCCAGTGCCAAGAGTAAGTACCTCATAGAACCATGATGAAAGCATCAGCTGGGGTTCGTGTCCACAAGCTCAGATTTTCCGAGGTTGCGGAGTATCTGAGGCATTTCATGCTGGCCGGGATGTAGATGCTCAGTTTCACCCGTTGAGCGAGCAAGGGTTGCCGAAATCTCAAAAAAGTGCGTGGCTTGGCAGCACCAGCCGGATGCTATCAAGAAGGGGGCCCCAACACCGCCATCTCGTCTTCGGAGGGGTGGCCAGGGCTTTGATGTTGCGGACCTGGGTGGTGCTGGACCGCTTGGCAGCACAGCCGGGCTCCGTTGTTTAAAAAGGGATCCCCAAGGTTGGAACCCGAAGTTGGATGAGTTGCTTCCTCTACATGCGTCCCACCCTTCAGGCGCTAGCGCGCGGAGAGGCGGTGGAGGAGCTCGCGGCAGTCAGGGCCCAAGGGTTTGTAGTCATGTACATTAGGTGCTTGGGTGCTTAGCGGCTTAGGGTTTAGGGATTGCAGGACTGAGCGTTAAAAAATGAAGTTGCGCGAAGCTGGTGTGTCGTGGCTGGACTTCCCCAGATAGCTGCCCCAAGCATGGAACTGCAACAGCCAGAACAGGTGCCAAAAGCTTGCAGCCTTGCCTGTACCTTCCAAGTACTCCTTGACTGAGAGGCACAGAGGACTACTTGTATTCAAGGTGTCCCAAAACAATGACTGACTGTCGAGGGTATACCTAAGCACTGCAAGCCCTGTACGCGCCACAACCCAATCTCCACAAGGCTTAAAAAAAACTTCATAAGCCCTCCTTCCTTAAACCCTAAACCCCAAACCCTTGGCTTGCCCTTAAAAACGTGCATAGGGCTGTTAAAAACAGACCCTAAACCCTCAACCCTAAACCCTCCTTTGGGTGCAAGGCCAAGGGTGTGACGGTTCCGGCGCAGAGGAAGGACCGGTCGGAGCCTTGGACTCGACTGTCTGCGCCTTGAGAGGCCTTTTGCCCTAAACTTACTCTGAGGGTTTAGGGGTTAGGGGTTTAGGGTGTTAAACCCCACATCATAAAGCTCATGCTTTCTTTCAAGTCACCTGAACCCCGAAGAAGGGCGTATGTTTTTTTAGATTTAGATGCGCGGCACAGCAGAATGCAGTTCCCTTGGCCTGGCTAGCGGACGAATCACTCCTCAATCGCGAGGCCGAACTTTGCGCCCGCCGCATTACTGAGGCTTTCTTGGGGGGACCCCTGTGGGGCTTCTAGTATAGCATTTGCATGTTCCATGTTAGTGGATACCTAAACGGGCCGAACATGTTGATCCACCCCATGAACCCGAAGCCCCCGAACACTTTTGGGGTTTGGGGGACCAAACGCTTAGGAGGGCAACCCTATCAGCCCCACAAGCCCTGCACTTTGTAGTTTCATAAACCCTGTAGACGCATCTTCTTAACAGTTGCGGCAGTTCCGAGATCTATAGAAGCCCCCTAAGCCTCTGCCCTGGTCGTAATAACGGGCATCCCCAAATCCTGGTAACTCAAGCCCCAGATGATCCGAGGTCGAAGCCGGCGGCGCCCGACGTAGCGGAGGCGCGGGGTGGGTGAGACGTCCAGGAGCAGGGCTCGCCAGCCCGCGCAGTGTTTTGGGGGGATCCGCAGGTTCGTGAGTCGAGAGTCCTGAGCCTCCGAGGATCCTTTCATCCAAAGCCCGATCCATACAATCAATACAACGACTGCCTTGCCCTTGTCACAACTTTGGCCTTTTCAACTTTAGGTCCGATGTTGCAGGAAGGCATGCGCAGGCAGTGGCCTGACACCTCCCATCATAGGAATTTGTGAATAAGGTTCTAGGTGCCAGCCCGTGGCACGAAAGCAGGGCTAAGCGTCCAAGAGTGAGGAACTCCTCTGAAAACTCAAGGCTGCCGCCTAAGGCTTAGGCTAGGCGGGTATCATGACCTCTGAGCTATTTCAAAACCTCATGTGGTGAGTTCTCTAAACGACCGTCCCCTTTTGGGCACCCTATATATTAGGGGCCGCCTTATAGTAGTAACCCCAAGAACGGACCACAATTTAGAGAAGTGAAGCCAAGCGCGAAGCCCCTGCGGAACCCGGCCAAAGGCCAGGGAGGCGGCGTGCTTAGACCCGCTGCCGCAGCCGGCCGAGCCCAGTGCCTCGGAGCACCCCTAAGCGGCCTCCCTGGGTTTGGCGTCTTTTTTAGAGTCTTGGTTTAGTGCGGATTGTTATTCTCATCATCATTGCTATCAGGGTTATCATTACTATCATTATAATCATTTAAAATCATTTCTTGTCATTATTATCATGTATCTCATTACATTAGCACTCTCATGATTATCATCACTGTCATCTTTGTCATCATTGTCATCATTGCCATCGTTATCATTATTACCATTATCATGATTGCTAATCATCATCATCATCACCATCATCATCATCATCATAATTACAATTATACTTATACTGATAAGTTATATTATAAATATAATTATAATTATCATTGTTATTACTACAGTGTGATGGCCTTATATAGTCGATGTGATATTGGGCCTTCTGGGTTGCTTCGCCAGGCCCAGGCCCGGGCTTCGACAAGTCGCCTAAGCGAGCGCTCGAAGAGACGGCCGCTGCGCAGGTTGGGTTAGGGTTAGGGTTTAGGGCTTAGGGTTTAGGGTTTAGGGTTGAGGGCTTAGGGTGTAGGGTTTGGGATTTAGGTTTGGGGTTCGGGATTTAGGTTTGGGGTTTGGGGCTTAGGGTTTATAGGGGTTATGAGGCTATGGGGTTTAGGGTTTTGGGCTTTGGGTTTATAGGGTCTATAGGGTTTAGGGTTCATAGGGTTGAAGGGTTTTTGTCCGGTTCATAGGGTTTAGGGTTTGGGGGTGAAGGCTTGGGGTTTTTAGGGCTGCCAGTTGCTAAGCCCTCCCCAACAGCCCTTTGGAGGCAGTAGATGTGCATCAAAGGGGTAAAGCGGTAAAACCCTGCAGAATGTCAAGTGGCAGGCGGCCCCTTCTGCAATCTCCGCGAGAGAGACGAAGCCGGCGGAGCCTGAGGAGATGTGAAGGGAGCTGTTTCGGAAAGTTGGCTCTCGCACTGTTCGTGTGACATTGCGCGTAGTATGGGGAGGGGATACTTCCATCTCAGAGACAGGTGGAACAGGGATCCAGGTAGCCAGACTTCTGCATAGCAGGGGTTTACGATAACAAGGGATTCCTAAGACAGACCCCAAATAGAAGGATGCCCTTGTAATCAGGACCCCAATGAGGCACCCCTAGTATCGTAACGCCCCAAATGTTGAAACATTTTCCTGAATTCACTTGTTATCGCTCTGTGCTGAGTCCTGCAAGTCTTGTGCGAGGACAAAGCGCAAAGCGACGATACGGAGGAGATTTGCAGCCTAGAAGCATTTCTCGGGAATCCGCCATGTAGGTCAATTGTGCGCAATTGGACCGGACTTGCAACCGCAGAGTCTGGCGGGGTTGTCGAAGCTTTTGGCTCGACTGTAGACCCAAGACCCCCAAAAACCCCGAAAACCCCATGTGGGGGTTAATTCGAGTTGCGGGCCCCTTGGTATCCTACGTTAGTGTAAGGCTTGCGGTACTTAAAAAAAGCACCGACAATACCCGAAACCCAACCCGAATGTAGCGAAGGAGGACGACCTCGTCCCGGGCCTCTACGCAGAAGGCTCTCAGGCCGCTGCGAGAGGCTTCGGCCGAGGTGCCGATTGTGGGTGGGCCGAAATACAGGGAGAGGGAGGGGTTTAGGGATTCGTATAGTTTTTAGGGGTTTCTAGGGCTTCAATGGTTAAAGGGGTTGAGGGGGCTTGAGGGCTTGAGGGGCTTCAGGGCATTTTAGGGTTTACGGCGACAGCAAAGTAGCCCCTGACCCGAGCCGCAACCAGCACCAGGCCGGCCTATGGGAAGGCTTTTCGAGGCCGGACAGGGTGACTGAAGGCTTAGGGTACCAAAACTGTGGAGGCACTCGCCCCCGCATCTTGTCTAGAGGTTTGCAGCTCAGTAGTTACGAACTTTAAGGACTATGGGGCTTTACGCTTTACGAATGTTTACGAAAGGAGGGTTGCCTTCTTCGGGTCTCTGATTATAAGGGGATCCTACTATTTGGGGGTCGATTCTAGGTCCCCTGTTTCGTAAACTCGCCTATGTGCAACGGGCCAGGGCCCCTCCTTCGGCCTGCATGGCCGTGGCATGGGGCGTGGCCGGGCCCTTGCGCCTCCACCTGGCCTGCAGGCTCCCGGCTAGCAGGGCTTCGGGCTTCGGGTTTGGGGCAAGTGGAGGCTTGATGAGGTTTTTGAAAGGTGCAGAGTGGGAGATAGGCAGGAAGAGGTTCGGCTGGTCCGACCTGAGCTCAATTCCCGACAGGGCCCTGTCTTTGTGACCTTTGCAGGGCTTGCAGCTCTCCGGAAGCCAGCGCATGCTACTGGGCTGCACGGGCCGATGGCAAGCTGAGGTTACCTTGTTCGTCGTCAGATGCAGTGCTGCCATTCCTAATGCTCGAGAACAGCAGCTCTCCTTTCCCCTTGTGCAGATGGTAGTGCAGGCATTGAGTATTATTATGTCATCACTGTCAGATGGATCCCCCTTTGCACGAAGAAAAACACCAAACCCGCAGTACGAATTAGCAGTCTCATCTTCGGGAGAAGGCAGAGAAGGTCGAAACCGCAGAGCTCCAACAGGCAGCGCCGCCGCAACGAAGGCTTAAACCCAAACTCAAACCTTACAAGGCGTGCGAACTCCGACTCTCCCCTGTCCCTGCTGTGTTTTAGGCCGGCCACGCTGTCCAGACCTTGGTGGCAGACTCAGCTTTTTGAGTTGATGTCAGCGGCAGCGGGCAAACAGATAGCCCTAGACCCTAGGCATGGCAGGCACGTAAGGCGACTAGAAACTCACGTGGAGCTGCGGCCGGAACCGCCGAACACTGCAACTAGGCCGAGTTACTCACCTGATTTTGGCACCCCAAGCAGCCCCTAAGTTGCAACGAGGTAACCAGTGGTGTCGTGTTATCCCTGGACCGCAGCCTGCGCCAAGGATGGCTGGTCCTCCGATCCCCGAGGACGAGGATGGGACCTCGCCCTTCACTTGCAGGTTGTTCTGAACTAATGGACGGGTTGGATCCTGCTGTCAC